AGGCGGTCACGGGGGGCGGTGGCGGTGCGAGTAGGTTGGCCCCCCGTCGGAGGTTGAGCTCGAGATGCTGTCTGCGGGGGAGGCAGTCGGCCCGCCGGTGGGCACTGCGTTTGGCGACGAGATGCAGAGGGCCGACGCCGAGCTTGTGGAATGATACTGACTTGACACTGGATTGATACTAGGCGACGAGATGCAGAGGGCCGCCGCCCAGCTGCTCGAGGAGTTGCCACCGCTGCGGCCGGCGACGGGACGCGCCGCCTCGGGCCCGCAGGTCGCCGCGTGGCTGGAGGCGGCGGTGAGGGCGCTGAATGAGGCGGCGGTGCATTGAAAGGCGCGGGCGGGGGCGGGGGGGTCTAGAAAGAGGAGCGTCCGAGTGTGGGAGCGGAGGGCTCCACCGCATGTCTTGAGATACGGGCGTGTTGACTAGATATCTGAAGGGGGGGGGGGGCGGCGGGGGGCGGCGTGGCGCGTCGGCGGCCATCACCCTTGGAGCAGCACTTGGCGGTGCGGTTTCGCAGGGAAGCGAGCAGGGGCCAAAGTAAAGAATTTAAACAGAACAACTCTCTCTCACAGCAGAGACCGCAGGCTCGCGAGCCTCGACACAGGTGCGAGATACTGGCGCGTGCTAGCACTATCACAGGCACACCACCGGAGCCGCCTAAGCGACTCCGCTAAGAAAACGGCAATGCACTTAGCTCCGTGCACAATGCCGCTATCCCCGCACGCTAGCTCGTTCACCGTCTCGCGTCGGCCACGCCACGGCGGTGTGGAGAACGACAGAGACAAGCGCTGCATCTGCAGCCCGTGCCAGTTCTTGGTGGTCCATGTGACCTCATCGAGGTGCTGAGCGTGCGAAAGTTTGTTACTCAGCTGGTCCGAACGCCTGCCGAACGTCTCGAAGTCGAGCAAACGCAGGTCGCAATTCTTTTCTCCCGCGCGAATCGGTAGTAAAGAAAACACGGATCTTCTCCGAGGGTTGGCACCGTGTTACCGGGCTTCCCTTTGCGCTTTGGAGTTTAGTCCGTAGTGTAACGCCGTGCACAGGTCTGGCCGCACAGAAAACGCCCCCGCCAGAGACATGCTACACGCACCCCCGGACCACATGGTCGGCCAAACACACGCCGGTCACGCCCCAGCGAAGTTGCTCGCCCGAAGGCCGGCCCAAGCCACATCAAACCTCTGGGCCTCGCACGCCCGCCGGCGAGGCTGAGCAAACACACCGCGAACAGGCACATACACGGGTCCCCGGTGCCGTAACTACGCCGGCCTCACTGCACCAACGACGAGCTAGCGACGGCTGCGGCACACCGTCCGACCTGCGCATCGTTCCAGGCGGACACGTCGAGCCCGCTGTAGCCCGTGTACTCAGAGCTCTCGGCGGCGTTGGCGCGCGCCGCGGCCGTGACCACCCGCACCTCCCCACTCTCCTGGCCGTGCGAGGGGGCAGGAACGGGTGGGGCCCACAGCCTGCCCGCATCTCACCAAATCTCGGCAATAGTCTCGGCAAGCTCTCGGGGATGGCTCGCCTGGAAGATCTTCATCTTCCGCAACGGGGGCGCGTACACGTGCAGCGTGTATGCTGGCACCTGTCAAGGGCAACAGCTGTGATCAGAAGCTATTTCACGGCTATTTGTCGTGCGGCAGGCGCGCGCGCCGTCTCGCTCCGATTCTCCACGATGCGAACCACCACCTATCTTTGCAATCGACGGTGTGAGCGCCGCGCGCGGTTCGCCGATACGCCGACGGAGAGGTAAGCCAAGGCTAATGGACACCCACTCGGGCTGAACGACCGAGGCGCCGCGCGCGGAGCTGCTGTTGCTGCACCGGGGCCGCTGGTCGGAGCCATTCTCGCTACCCCGCGGGGGCGGTGGTAAAGTAGATTGCGGACGATTCTTTTGCCCAGTGTTGGAGTTGCGCGGTACCTTCTGTTAGGTAAATATTCTGTTCTCCTGTGTTAGAAAGCTGCTTACAGCGTCAAGTGCGGCCCTTAGCTGAGTAGAACTCGAAGTGGGCGTCGAGGGGGCCTATCTGGATATAGTAGAGTGTGAGCCCGCGCGCTGCAAAGCTCGAGTGGGCGATGGCGCGAGCTGGAGGCAGGCTGGGCCATGTACTAATTGCGTGTGACTGTTTCTGCCGTCTTTGAGGGGGCATGGGCGTAGGAGTGGTGTGCTCTGCTACCCTTGCAGCCGAGTGCCTTCTCTCAGCGCTCCATTGCCTCTAGGGGGTTGTGGCGTGGATTTCGCCCCCCTGGCCCTGCTCACTGGCGACCGAAGACAGAGGTCATGTGCTGTATGAGAAATTAGTACAGTGTACCATGTGTACCCATGGAAACGATACCGCAAGGCACGCCAGCCGCGTCACGCGGTCCACGACTCTCTCACGGCGGCGCCGCGCTGGCGCCGCTCTCCGCGGCCGCCTCCCCAAACAGCGCAGGAAGCCGAGCCAGTGGCGCCGCGCCACGCGGCAAGAAGCCGCCTCCCAGCCAGCCTCCGCCGCCGAGCCCGCCGCCGCCCGCCGCCGCGTCCGCCGCCGCGCCGGCCTTGTAGGCCGAATGCGCGGCGGGTCCTGACTCTGCATGGCGGTGCATCGCGCCGGTGCGCACCTAGATAGATGGATAGCGAGGTGAAGACACCGTCAGCTGGACATGCGGCGGTTAGGGTGTCCCCCTATCTCCCCCTATCTCCCCCTATCTCCCCCTATCTCGCGCCTGCAGCTCGAGCGGCGTGCCCGACGGCAGCGCGTAGGTGGAGTGGAGGGAGCAGTACCCGTTGGCCTTTGGAGACGCGATGTAGTCCGAGAAGGCGACCTCGCCCCAAAGTCGGCCCGCCACTTGCCGCACCGCGAGGCAGCGCGAGTGGTCGCCAGCCCTCCGCGGCAGCCCGCCCGCCGCCTCGCCGTACTCGCGGTACCTACCTCGCCCCGCCGCTGCTGTGAAGAGACGCCGTTCACAACCCGCCCGCCGCGCCGTACTCGCGGTGCCCGTCGAGCACCACCCGGAGTCCGAGCAAATCGTCGGCTCGCTTGCCGCGCAACGCGACCTGTTCACAGCCGCCGCTGTGAAGAGGCGCCGCTCACGTCTCTCGGCTGTCTCTCGGCTGTCTCTCGGCTGTCTCTCGGCTGTCTCTCGGCTGTCTCTCGGCTGTCTCTCGAACCTTTTCGAAGAGCGACGCCGCCGACTTGAGTCTCGCCTACAGCCGAGGTGCAGCCGAGATGCAGCCGAAGTGCAGCCGAGATGCAGCCGAAGTGCAGCCGAGATGCAGCCGAGGTGCAGCCGAGGTGCAGCCGAGGTGCAGCCGAGGTGCAGCCGAGGTGCAGCCGAGGTGCAGCCGAGGTGCAGCGAGGTAGAGCCGAGACACAGCCGAGATGCAGCCGAGACGCAGCCGGCTTGAGTCGCGCCTCGACGCGGTACGAGCCCGCCGGCAGGGAAGCAGCCATATCTCCCCAGATCTCAGCCATATCTCCCCACATCTCGCGCCTCGACGCGGTACGAGCCCGCCGGCAGGGAAGCAGCCATCTCTCCCCAGATCTCAGCCATATCTCCCCACATCTCGCGCCTCGACGCGGTACGAGCCCGCCGGCAGGGAAGCAGCCATCTCTCCCCAGATCTCAGCCATATCTCCCCACATCTCGCGCCTCGACGCGGTACGAGCCCGCCGGCAGGGAAGCAGCCATCTCTCCCCAGATCTCAGCCATATCTCCCCACATCTCGCGCCTCGACGCGGTACGAGCCCGCCGGCAGGGAAGCAGCCATATCTCCCCAGATCTCAGCCATATCTCCCCACATCTCGCGCCTCGACGCGGTACGAGCCCGCCGGCAGGGAAGCAGCCATCTCTCCCCAGATCTCAGCCATATCTCCCCACATCTCGCGCCTCGACGCGGTACGAGCCCGCCGGCAGGGAAGCAGCCATCTCTCCCCAGATCTCAGCCATATCTCCCCACATCTCGCGCCTCGACGCGGTACGAGCCCGCCGGCAGGGAAGCAGCCATCTCTCCCCAGATCTCAGCCATATCTCCCCACATCTCGCGCCTCGACGCGGTACGAGCCCGCCGGCAGGGAAGCAGCCATCTCTCCCCAGATCTCAGCCATATCTCCCCACATCTCGCGCCTCGACGCGGTACGAGCCCGCCGGCAGGGAAGCAGCCATCTCTCCCCAGATCTCAGCCATATCTCCCCACATCTCGCGCCTCGACGCGGTACGAGCCCGCCGGCAGGGAAGCAGCCAGCGCCGCTTCCACCCGCCTCGCCGCCTCCTCGAGCTCCTCGCTCCCGGCGGCCGACAGCTGTCCGTGCCACGCCTGCGCGTACCATACCTCCAGAGTCGTCGAATCCAGTGTGGGTTCAGTCCCCTGGGTGGTGTGGTAGGCCGAATCACGGGCGGGAAGACGGTACTTGTGCAGTGCATTCAGAGCACCGCGTGAGTACACGCGATCTGGAGAGATCTGGGGAGATCTGGGGAGATCGTGCAGTGCACTCAGAGCACCGCGTGAGTACACGCGATCTGGGGAGATCTGGGGAGATCTGGGGAGATCGTGCAGTGCACTCAGAGCAGCGCGTGAGTACGAGGGGCTGCGAGAGAGCGGCGAATACAGCGGAACGCGGCGGCGAGTGCCGCCGAACCCGTGTCCTAGAGAGCGCTGGCTGGAAGGCAAGACTGCGTGTCCCGCTTCTAGCTTAGGAGGCTCCGGTGGTGTGCCGGTGTGTGTGCTAGTCCGCGCCAGTCCGCGCCCTTGTCGTGCCAGTGTGCTGTGAGAGAGGCTTGTGTTTTAAGAATTCTAGGCCGCCTCGCCCGCACGGCGCCAAACGCGCCGGGGAAAGCGACGGCGCAGACCGACTCAGCGAACGCCGTCCGGAGCCAGCGCTGAAGGCCTGTTGCTGTGGCGGCGCCGTCGGCGGCGGCGAGGCAGCCGGCGACGAACCTGGCCCGCGGTGCAGCCGAGATGCAGCCGAGGTGCGGCCGAGGTGCAGCCGAGATGCAGCCGAGGTGCGGCCGAGGTGCAGCCGAGATGCAGCCGAGGTGCAGCCGAGATGCAGCCGAGGTGCAGCCGAGATGCAGCCGAGATGCAGCCGAGATGAGCCGAGATGTTAGCCGAGATGAGCCAAGGTGCAGCCGAGATGAGCCGAGATGCAGCTGAGATGAGCCGAGGTGCAGCCGAGGCGCAGCCAGAGACGAGCCTGGCCCGTGCGCGGACCGGAGGGACGAAAAGGAGCGGTGAGATGGCCCAACCGCCACCACCACCGCCGCCGCCGCCGCCGCCGCCGCCGCCGGCGGCTCTGCTGCTGTCATGGACCCACCCGCCAGATCGGAGGGCAGAGCGGGGCACGGCCGGGGCGGATGCGGCGGCGGCGGCGGAGGGGCGGTGCGGCGCGGCGGAGACCACATACGCGCGCGCCGTGGAGAGGAGGAGGAGCGCCACGAGACCCCGCAGCAGCGCCCGGCAGTCGACAGAGATCTCGGAGCGCACCCGCGCCCCTCCGCGCAGCTGCTTGCGCTCGATCACGATGCTCAGCCGGCGCCGATTGGACGCCGCCTCGCCGTCGCGCACAAAGGACGCCCGCACACGAGGAGCGTACGAGAGGAGTCCAGTGCCGTCGCCACCGCGCACAGGCTCCGACTTGATGCGGATGAGAGGAGGAGCCAGAGGCCGTGGGCTGGGCAGCGTCTGCGATCGAAAAAGCCGTAATGGCCGCGTTTGCTCCAGCAGCGCCTCGTGTCCGGCGCTGTCTGTGTCGACATTCGCCATCGCCCCCTCGTGACCGGCGCTGTCTGTGTCGACGTTCGCCATCTCAGGGCGACGCGCGCGCGCGAGAGAAAGAGCGAGCCGGGCCGGCCAAAGAAGATAGAGAAGCCCGACCGCCGGGCGCTTCCTTTCATTGAAGAATTTAAACAAGTACCTTAAGGTAAGCACAAAAGAACTCTCTCCGCGGGCAGGCCGTAGCCGCAGGCAGTGGCAGTGCACGGCCGCACACCGGCTGTGGCGGCTCGTATGCCCCCGGCAGTGCTGCTAGTCATTAACTTGCGTAATGGGGCCGCAGCAGACTGCTGCTGTGGCAGCAGCAGCAGCCTGCTGCTGCCTGATTCAGTCAAGCCAGCGGCGCAGCGAGGCGTGCAGAACTTGCGTGATTTTGTCCCTCCTGAGGCTGAGCGCATTCGAGCCCGTCGACCGGAGTTGGATGGTACCACGCGTCTCACTGAGACGCGGGGCACTGGCCATGGCCGGACTACGGAGCTGAGGTCGAGAAAAAAACAGTAGAGTTGTTTGGTATTGCTAAAAATCTCTCTCTGAGGTCGAGCGGAGCGAGCCACAAAACAACGAGAAAAACACCGCCCTGACGGATGTCAACATCAGAACGTCAGATCTGCCTCGCCCTGGGCTGGACCTAGTCTCGTTTTGGTTCTCGGTGCGCTGTGTTCTCAGAGAGGGATGGACCTAGTCTCGTTTTGGTTCTCGGTGCGCTGTGTTCTCAGAGAGAGTTGGGAGAGAGATGCAAACAAATCACTCTGTGTGACACATTTCTTGAGAGTTGTCGGTTTTGGATTTTGGTTAAAAAAAACAGGACGTACGGGGTAGTCGTCACACCCTCCTGCCTCACAAGGGCGGGGCTGTCCCGGAAAGTGAGAAACGCCCAGGAAACGCCGGGCAGCGTGGCGCATCATTGAAACCTCCCATACGTGTTTGTGCCTCCTCCTTCGGGCTGTTCCATCTCCTCGTCTCTTTCCCACCTAGGCGGGGCGGGGGGCGGGGGGGCGGCGGGCGCGGGTGCGGGGTGCGGTGCGGTGCGTGCAATCGTGTGCTTGGCGTCATGTTGTGTGTGCCTTCGCTTGTTCCTATTAACAAAACGAAGTCTAGCTAAAAAAAAAAGCGGCTCCGTCGAGGACCGGGCGCGCCCCTTTCCCGGCGCGGCGTAGGTCCCACTCTGACGTATAGAGGGGAGGCACGGACAACGGCCCAATTCATCAATTCCACTTGGGTTGTCTGTTTTCTTTCTTTTTTTTTAGGGATGGGAGGACGGCACGCCGCCACCACACAGGGATTTTAAGGAGAGGGGTGTGGTGCGCTAGCCGTCACAAACGGGGCACAAACGGCTACAAACATCTGTGTGAGCTCTGTGTCTTGATTTGCCAACAATATAAAAAACAAACATGTTTTAAGTTGTGAGTTTTCTCTCTATCTGCGTGTGCGAGAGCCTTTGTTGTGAAATTCTCTCTATCTTCGCGCCGCGGCCCCCCGAGGCCGTCAGATGACGTTCCAGTTCTTTAAGGGCCAGGGCCGCCGTTGCGACAGCTGCGGTCGCCGAGGAGCCATCGCCCTGCTCTGCCTTGCCGCGACGGTTGCGACCTCTGGGCCCGCCAAAAAGAACTCGCCTTTCCCGCGCAGCCCACCCGTTGGCGCGCTCCTGCCGGCGAGCTCCAGCCTGCCTCCACTCGGCGGCATGCAGAGCCGCGAGGAGCGTCGTCTCATCTCAGAATTGCCCACCCCTCCCCCATGGGACGCCTCCAGCGGCGCCCTCGATGATATCGGCAAAAAGGTCATCTACATCATGAGGCACGGCGAGAAACCTCTCTCCTACTGCCCTCGCGTCATCCGACTTCTCAGAAACGCCACCGCGTGCCTGAACGCCCGTGGACGGGCACGCGCACGTAATCTACGCCGTGTCTTTGGTTGGACGCCCGAGCGCCCCTTTCGCACGCCCGACGCGCTCTTTGCTGGAAAGTATGGCGTGAACGCCGACTGCGTGGACAGAGACGGCTACCGGACTGTGAGCACGCTTGTGCCTCTGGCGCGGGAGCTGGGCCTGCCCATCGAGCGCAGCTATGGTTGGACGAGCGAGATCTGCGCGCCCGAGGATCGTGGCAACTGCCGCGGCGAGTTCTCTGTTCCGCTCGCCGACATTGCCACGACGCATCCATGACGCGACCAATACACGTCCCATAGGCGGCTTCTGGTTCCGCTCGCCGTGCCGCGCGCACGACTTTGGACTCTGCTGCAACGCAGCCTCGGCTGCCGCGATGAAGTCGAGGCTGTCGGAGCCGGGAGTTGAGACGCTGCTGGTCGTGTGGGAACACTGGAACATAGAGATGCTCACATGTGCACTCGGCGTGCCTCCGCCGCTCGTGCCGATCGGGTGGGTCGACGGTGAGTCCTCTGCAAGTGAGCTCAGCCTGGTCTGGGCACGGGCATGACATGTCAGCGATGTGCCCGCAGGCGAATTTGACCGCGTGTACGAGCTCACCTTTGACGCCAACGGCACCTTCCTCTCGCTCAACACCTCCGGCTTCCAGCGCTTCGTGTACAACGCCAGCGCTGAGCAAATGGCCGATCCCTTTGGTGGCGACCCTCCGCATGATTGCATGCCACCCTCGCCGCCGCCCCTTTCGCCACCACTTGAGCCGCCGCCACCGAGCGCACCCTCGCCGTCTCCACCTCCGCTGCCGCCTTCTCCCTCGCCTGCCTCTCCGCCGCCCTCACCGCCGCCGCCGCCGCCGCCGCCGCGACCGCCCGCGCCGCCCTTTCCGGCCCGACCACCTCGCACAGCTTCCTGGGACAGCGCGACCGCCGCTGTCGCAGTGTGCTGCTGCGGTTTGTGTTGCTGCGTCGGGCTGTGGCGGTGCTCCGGGATCTTTCGAGACCTGATCCATCCCATAGGCACGTGCCTCTCCCGCGGCAGGAACTCCCTCCAGCCAGGTTGCGGCGCTCCCCCACCCAGACCCTCCCTCTCCCTGCTGAGATCGGAGGCGCTGAGACCGCCCGTCGGAGCCTCGCCGCTTTCCCAGCCGCTCCTTGCGGCGGCGGCGGATCCGCCGCTGTCGGCGGCGGTGACGCCGCCCAACGAGGAACTACCGGGGTTGAGGTCGCTCGTCGACGATGAGGGGCCGAGTGCAGAGGGCTCGTTGGGCTCGTCATCATGGGAGCCCGTTGAGGCTGAAGAAAATGAGTAGTAAGAGCGAAACACCCGCCGGCCCGACGGCTGGCGTTTTATGTTTCCTCGCGCGTTCGGACACGCGGCCGGCCCGATTTCCCGCTGACACCGCTGACTCGACGCGATTTTCGATCGACTCACAAGTGAGAGAGCACTGCGAGAAGACAGTGTGCTTGTGTGTCGGTTTGCAGGCGCAGTTTGTGCGGTCGCGCTGCCGCCGCAGTAGCACGGTGACGGGAGAGTTTGCCGATTCGGAGCGTGAAGCCACTGTGCGATTTCTCCGGCGTCCGGCCCGGGGAGAGCCGGAGTTGTGCTTTTATGTGAACGTGTTTCACCCATTCTGATGTGTTTTGTCCGCGCTGAGTGTTATGCAGAGCGGGATCCAAGAGCGGGGAATGATTGGTGAGGTAAGATGAGGTCAACTCCCAAAAAGCAAACGAAACGTAAGAGCCACCGCTCGAGAACTCCGTGCACAGAGGCTCGAGGCCCGCGATTGCCTCTTCCTGTATCCTGACTGGTCCGTGACTCCTCTGCTGTCAAGCCATATGGTTGTGCCAATTTCACGGCTGTTACGCACCTGTGTCAACAGTACTGTTGGAGTTCTCACGCACTGAACATGCGCTCTCACCTCTCAGCCTCTTTTGCGCTCACGCACGGGCTCGCTGCAGTGGTGGTTGTGGGGCGAGGCGAGAGGCGCGCGCGGAGGCAGCTCCCATCTCGCGCTGCGTCGCGCCGGGCGACGGGCGGGGCGAGAGGAAGCACTGGCAAACCCTGTGAAGCGTGAACGGCGGCACGATTTTTGACAGCGTACCCCCCCCCCGGTACCTTGAAACGATCTCGGTGCCGAAACACCGCTCTGAAGGCGCTGGGTCGGTGTGGCTGTTCAGACCATCGAGGAGCTGACGGCCGACGCCTGGACGGCAGCGGCGGCGTGGCGATGCAGCTCGCTGACATAGACCCTGTGGCCGTTGTCAGTCAGCAAGGCCGTGCAGTAGAGGCTACGAAGCAGCCAGCGGCCAACGGTTTGCCTTGGCTTCGCATGCTCATCGCGACTCTCGGCGCATGCGCGCTCGTGGGCATCGGATTCGGCGTTGGCAGGTCGCTCCCGAGAGCTACCGACTCCAACGGCGGGCATGACGCCACAGCGCGGCCGTGGCCGCTGTCGCAGCCGCCGCCGTCGCAGCCGCGACTTCCCTCACCTCCTCCATCGCCCGCGTCGCCGTCTCCCTCGCCTCCTCCATCGCCCGCGTTGCCCTCCGGCTGGTGGAGCTACGGTGAAGAATGGTGGGACAGCGACGTAGACTGGGAGGCGCCACCGTCAGATGGCATGGTAGTCACGGAGCTCAACACCTACGAGAAGGACGGATACGTCGGGTCAAGGCAGGACATCTGGAGGGTTGGGGCCAGGCTTGCTACCACAGCAGCAGGTCACAACTGTCCGGTGTCGTTGCCAAACGAGTGCACACTTGGGTGGGTCCGCATGTCCTCGGCAAGACGGTCGAGACGCCTGCAGACATCGACGCCGTTACCGACACAGCTTGGCGACAGAACTACAAGCACACGGGCGATGTGCTAGCGCAGGTCTTGGCCGGCGTCGACACAGCGCTGTGGGACCTTGTCGCGCGCAACCTCAACGTCTCCGTCTGCACCCTCGTCGCGGAGGTGATGGGCGGTGAGTGCAAGAGCCACATGCCGGTTTACGGCTCCAATGGCAACCGAGAGACCGACATGGGACTTCTTTTGGCAAACGCCGTGCACAATCACGACAAGTACGGCGTGCAGGCCTTCAAATTCCAAATCGCACAGCGCATGGGCGGGGATGTGGACATCACGCCAAACCGAACCGAGACCCTCATACCGCTCGCGCGGCAGCTGCTAGGTCCGGAGGTGACGCTTCTGGCCGACGCCAACGGCGGATACGACACGATCGAGCGAGCCAAGCCGATCGCCCAGCTCCTCATCGACAACAACTTCACCTTCTTCGAGGAGCCCTACCCATTCTGGGAATACGACAAGGCTGCGGCCCTGGGGGCGGCGATGCCGGGCATGCCGATCGCGCTCGGCGAGCAGGAGTACCGCATGGATGTGTGGCAGAGGAACGTCCACGCCATGGATGTGTGGCAGCCTGACGTACACTACATCGGCGGGGTCTCGCGCAGCCTCGCTGTGGCTCGGATGAGCATGGAGGCCGGGGCCAGATTCGTGCCGCACTCCCCAAACCCGAGCTTCGTGGCTGTCTTCACACTCCACATAGCGGCGGCCGTGCCGAACGCCTTCCAGTTCATGGAGGCCGATGCCGTGAACACACGGCAGCCACCGGATGGCAAACGCTTCTTCACCGAGGGTGTGCTCAAGATCAAGGACGGCAAGATGAAGGTGCCGACTGGCGCTGGCTGGGGTGTCGCGCTCAGGTCAGATTGGGTGGACGAAGCGTCGAAGCGGACGAGCAAAATGAAGTCGTCGCCGCCTCCACCATCACCCACCGCCACGTGATTAGTTCACGCAGGAATCGAGCTCAAGCAAGTCGGTCCGTGTGTGATGTGCGTGCGGTGTGCTTTCGGTGCGAGTGGCTTGTCTCTAGAAACAAGACGTAGGGCTAACGGCTGCTATGTTTGAGTTGCATGAGCGCTCTCCCACCGCTCTGTCCTCTGAGAGTCTCTCCACATCTCGGGTCGCACAAAATGCAAAAATAAACGGACGACCTGTTCTTTTTTACCCATCTACGGGGTGGACGGGGAAGGACCCTGACGCCTGAGTGAGTTGCACAGTGGTTGTGCGCCAGGCCCAATAGCCGCACGTTTGCACTCGCCGTGCCTTGCCACCTCCGAACCGCGCTCCCTCCTTCAGTTTTGGGGCGAATCGGGTGCCGAACTCGGCGTCGACAGCTTTGGCTCGACATCTGATCATTGGCGAGAAACGCATAAGCCCCCCAGGCGAAAATGGCGGAAATGGCTGAATCGGAGGTAGCGCACGGGGGGCTTATGCGTTCCGCGGGGTCGTATGTTTGAGCCGGATATCGACCTGGTGCCCCAAGGGGGTCCTTCCCTCCGTGCGCCCAACGATATGGGCAAATCCGCGCCGAAGCGCGCTTCCGACGCTGACCAAGACGAACGGCCCGCAGAGGCAAACGATGGCTCTGGGCCGGAGCCCCCCCCCCCCCCCCTCGGGGGCTGGCGGGGGCACCGACGGGGCCCCAGCCGCGCCTCCCGCTCCTATGGACTCGGCCGAGGAGCTACGAGTGCTTCGCAAGCGGCTCGAGCGGCTCGAGGCTCAAGCCGCCCACGCAGCACCCGACGGGGAGGACGGGGTTTTTGTCTGGCCGAGAGGCGTGCTGGGCCTCGGCGAGCGAGGCTGCGTCAGCTGTTCCCACAGCGGCAGGCTGGAAGTAGAAGGGTGTGGATGCTGGGTTGACGGAAATCCGGGGACGCGACCCACTTCGCCACAGACGGTCCCGCGCCTCGCCGCTAAGACAGTGGCACGCACCGCGCAGCGGCGCGTGCCACTGTCTTTGTCCGGAGTGAATACTCAAACGCGCTCGTCGGTGACGGTGTCCCCGGATTTCGCCGCGCTCGGCGAACCTCGACAGCGCCCCTTCGGTGGCATGCATCAAGCTGCTGTACGGCCCCGGCATCGCCTTCCCAGGCTTAGCTAGACTGAGAGATATTGTGGACATGGTTGGTCTCTACAACATATACACTGACACTGAACCTCCCAGAGCTCGTCCCGGTCCGTCACGGCCATCCTCGGCCTCCGGAGGGCCCCCGGCCGCGCCCGCGGCCCCGGCGCGGCGCGGTGCGGCGGGGTTGTTGCACGAGTATATGGGACAAAAGCGTCGAAAATGTCCCAAAAAGCGTGTCTCGAGTTTGTTGCAGCCCCACAGCTGGCGCGCGTTTGGACATCCCAACCATCACACAAGACAGCCTGTAGGTGATGGCGGGACGGCGCAGTGTTTGTGGCACTCGGCAGTAGGCACCCGCGGCACGGCCCCGCTGTCGGCTCTCACGGGCTGCGGAACCGGCCCCAGAGGGAGCCGGTCCGGGCGAGTGTGGCAGCTCCTGCGCTAGTATGGGCACCCTCTATCATAGCACTACTGATCCTGGTCATTAGAGCTGCCAGGGATAGCGTCAGGAGCCGGTAGGAGTCAAAACCTCTCATATTTGAGACATCGTGTCCCATATACTCGTGCAACAACCCGGCGGAGTCACAAATCCGACGGCAGAGCACCGGGACGCGGTCGGGCGATCTAAGGCCCAGTGAGGCGTATGCATTGCCCATCCAGGACTATCACCTGGACCTATCAACAGGGGCTGGAGCCGAGCAGGAGGGCCCGGCGCACAACCCCCTGGTCAACTTTTTCACCCTCCACCCCCCCCCGTACCTCGCCAGTCAAAAGAACCACATTAAGCGTTATTCGATTTCCCCACGGTCGTCCGCGACGGCTAATACAAAAGGAGGAACTATCCGCACCGCCCAGTGCGACCAACACGCGCAAAACGTAAAAAAGACATCCGCGCGCCGCGGCGCGCACGCGCGCACGCACGCACGCACGCACGAGGCACGACTCTCAGAATCACCGCGGGCCGTCACGGGGCGGGCGGGTGCGGCTTGCAGCTCGGCACACTGCGAGGCGACACTCACCATGGCTCTACGCGCCGCGCGCCGCGCTGCTCACACTCGCGCCGCCTCCAGCGGCGAAGCTCCAGGAAAGCTCCAGGAAAGCTCTCCTCGGCACGCTCGCGAGGGACGCCTTGGCACCGGCGCCACCACATCGGACCATCGGCGCTACGCAGCCACCCGCTCGCCCTCCCTCTTACTCGCCGCCGCCGCCAGCCGCCGCCTTATGCCGCTTGCCGCCGCCTCCGCCGCCCCCGCCGCCGCCCCCCTGCTTGGGCGCGACGCCGCGCTTGCCGAGTCCCTTCATGCGCGCCGTCGGCATCTGGGACAGGTCTTGCTTGGGCAAGTGCAGCCGCCCCTCGCGCCCGCCGAGCTTGGAGTGCGACACGTTGCGCGCCTTCTTTGGCGCCGCGCTGCTCGCCGCCGGCTGCCGCATCGCCTCGCGCAGTAGGTCTGGGGCGGGCCGCTGCACGCGCCGCACGACCAAGTTGACCCGAGGGCCCATCTCGCGCAGCGCCACGTGCGGCGCCGTCGCCTCGGCGCTCTTCTGCAGCTTGACGGAATACTGCCGCAGCCGCACGAGACGGCGCGAGCCACCGCTCCCTCCGTCGGCGGCGCCCCTGCGGTAAGGGTGAGGGTCAGACGAAGTGCAGTGAGAGGAACTGTGGTGAGGGACTGTAGTGTGAGGTGCAGACGGAGCGCACCGCCCCCTCTGGCGAGGCGCGGAGGTCTGGGGAGACGTACGGAGGCATATGCTACGGGTCCCAAGAAGTATGGGAAGCATATGCTCCCTGGCCGCGCGTCCGGTGTGGGTTCGCCCCTCCCTGGGGGTGGGGGATCCCCTACCCACAGTGGGGTCGAACCCTGATCTCCCCTACCCACAGTGGGGTCGAACCCGATTCCCCCCTAGCGTGTCACGCCCCCTCCCCCCCCCCAGTGTCAGTAGGGCCCAGAGCCACGGTCATGCGGAGGTGGCGGACATGGGGAGGTGGCGGACATGGGGAGTGGTGGACATGGGGAGGTGGCGGAGCGCACCAACCCTCGGGCGAGGCGGAGAAGGCGATCACACGCTCGAGCGCCAGCGGGGCGATCGCCTCGGCTGGCTTGCCCCCGAACCAGTCGAGCAGGAAGGCGCGCAGCTCCTTGAGCTCGACCACATTCTCCCACCCGTCTCCGTTGAACTGCAGCAGCGGCTTCGCCTCGCCAGACGCGCCGCCGCCGGCGCCCCTCGCAAAGCCCGCCATCGCCGCGCTCGCCTGGGGCAGGCGAGATCTGGGGAGATACCGGGAGGCAGGGGAGATATGGCGAGATGTGGGGAGAATATGCCGTGGGCGCAGACGGGCGACGAGGTGTGTCTCGGAAGTGTCCCGGAAGCGTCTCTTGGAAGTGTCGCGGCGCCTCGACGCCAAACTCGTACATGTCGAGGATGCGGTGGTCGAAGCAGCGGCCGAGGACGAGGTTGTGCGGCCTGATGGCGGGCAGGGACGCCGACGCCAGCGGAGGCTGAGACCGGGCGGCGGATCCATTCCTCGCGCCCTTCCTCTGCTCCACTCTGCAGGCCGCCGGCTGCCTCTCTCATCACCACCTCTCGTTGTCCCGCCCGCGCCGCTGCCACCGACCGGACGAAGCTCCTCTCCCTCCTCCTCCCCTCCTCTCTCTACCCTCCCCTCCCCTCCTCTCCCCTCGAGCGCCGGGCTGGGACGGCCGCGCCTCTTTTTCGAGTGCGTGCCGAATCCGAAGAGCGACGCGTCATTCTTCTGGCAGAGGAACTCGAGCGGCGTGGCGTCCTCCCACGGGTGGACGGCGTTGTGCCGGCGGAAGTGCTTTGCGTGCGGCTTCTTCAGGCAGAAGAGGTCCGTCAGCAACTCATTGACGACAGCGGACGACTTTTGGCCGCGGGCGAGCAGCGCGGTGCGCGGGTTTTCGACGAGCTTGGGCTCGCGCTGCGCGAGGAAGCGACGACCGCGGGCCGATTTTGCGCGCCTGCTCTCGAGGCTCATGAGAGAGAGGTGGTGCGGTGGTGGCTCAGCGGCGCTGCGGTGGGTCCTCGTACTCGTCGCCCTGGTTGCCGGATCAGGCGTATTTTTATTTTTTTTGAGAGCGCCTTCGTTGTTAATTGTACAAACCCAATGGTCCTCTGCAAGCGGTCCTTCGTTGCAGTCGCACACACGCACACGCCACGCCGCACCGCGCGCCCGCCCACCGCCCCGCCCAGGCGGGAAAGAGATGAGGAGATGGGACAGCAAAGGAGGAAGCCCAAACACGTATGGGAGGGTTCAGTAGTGCGCCACGCTGCCCGGCGTCTCTCACTTTCCGGGACAGCCCCGCCCTTGTGAGGCAGGAAAGTGACGGCTACCCCGTACGCCCTGCGGCCTGCTACTCCGACGCCGACCGCCCATTCTCCCCTCCTCGTTCCCCCCTCGAATGCTCCGGACCCCGACAAGCCGCCCGACGTTGGGCCTCTGCCCCGCACGCCCCCGCCCCTCTGCCCCTCACACACACCCAGGCCCGACATGCACATACAAGACAAACCCGGCGTCCTGCTCTCAAAAGAAAAAGAAAAAATGGGAAGGAGGAGACCAGCGGGGGAGACTCCCCGCCTATGCAACACCCCAGAGAGGGGCTGCCATCGCCGAAGCTGTGCCTAAGCATAACTCCCAAACCCGCAGCGGCCCGGGGGGCCTTGGGGGCAGCCTGCCGCCACCCCTCGTGCCGGCCGAGCCGACTCAGCAGCTCCGGCACAACCAATCCGACCGCCGACGGGAGGGCGAGCAAGAGGGAGAGCACTCGATGGGCCAAAATCCGTAAAAAAAGAAAAGAAAACGCTTAACGCAAGGGAGGGATGGGAGGACGGCACGCCGCCACCACACAGGGATTTTAAGGAGAGGGGTGTGATGCGCTAGCCGTCGCCCACCCTTGGGCGTCCGCCTCTTCCTATCTCTCTTCGCAGTCTCTCGCCGATTCTCGCTGCAACTTTCAAAATCCGTCACTAGCACATCTAAAATTCTTTTCGCGATGTCATCCCCGAGTTGCTCCTCCACCGCCGCCGCCGCTCCCTCGCCGGACGCGCCGCCGCCCGCCCGCCTCCTCGACCTCCCCAGGGAGCTCCTCGAGCGCGCCCTCTCACACTGCCACAGCCCCCTCGACATCGCTCGCGCCGCGGCCGTCTCGCTGCTCTTCCACGCCTCGCTAGCGGTAGAGGGCATCCGCTTGTGGGCGCAAGAGCGCGGCTTCGAGCTGCATGCGCAGCCGGACGGCGAGGGCTGCGCCGTGCGGTGGCTGTGCTATTCGGCGCTGCTGTGCGAGGCCAACCCGCCGGAGAGGGCGGCGGCAGGCGAACGGCACAGCCTCTTCATCGATGGCGAGGGGCGGCTCTCGTCGTGCGGCTGTGCGCTGTCCTACTCTCCAGCCCTGCTCGGGCACGGCGAGGGCGTGACGCGGCTTAACACGCCGACCCTCCCCCCGTCGGCGCTGGGCGGCGAGCGCGCCGTGAGCGTGTCGGCTGCAGCGCGGCATAGCCTCGCCCTCGCCGCTGACGGTTGTGTCTGGAGCTGGGGCGGTGGCTACGCTGGCCAGCTGGGCCACGGCGACGAGCAGTTCCAGCTGCGGCCTAAGAAGGTCGAGGCCTTGGCTGGGCGGCGCGTCGCCGCTGTGTCGGCTGGATTTGCGCACAGCCTTGCCCTCACCACCGACGGCTCCGTCTGGAGCTGGGGCCCTGGAGACGACGGCCGATTGGGCCACGGCGACGAGCAGCGCCAGCTGCTGCCCAAGATGGTCGAGGCCTTGGCGGGCCAGCGCGTCATCGCCGTGTCGGCTGGAGGCATGCACAGCCTGGCCCTCATTGCCGACGGCTCTGTCTGGAGCTGGGGCCGTGGATGCCACGGCGACGAGCAGCACCAGCAGTTGCTGCCAAAGAAGGTCGAGGCCTTTGCTGAGCAGCACGTCGTCGCTGTGTCGGCTGGATATTTCCACAGCCTCACCCTCACCGCCAACGGCAGCGTCTGGAGCTGGGGCGGTGGGGCCGGTGGCAAGCTGGGCCACGGCGACACGCAGCGCCAGCTGCTGCCGAAGAAGATCGAGGCCTTCACTGGCCAGCGCGTCATCGCAGTCTCGGCTGGAGGTGAACACAGCCTCGCCCTCACTGCCAAGGGCGCCCTCTGGAGCTGGGGCGAGGGAAGCTATGGCCTGTTGGGCCACGGCGACCAGCAGGGCCAGCTGCTGCCGAAGAAGGTCGAGGCCTTTGCTGGGCGGCGCGTCATCGCTGTGTCGGCTGGGGAGGGCCACAGCCTCGCCTTCACCGCCGATGGGGCTGTCTTTGCCTGGGGCAAGGGCGAGACCGGCTGCCTAGGCCACGGAGAGGACCTGACGAGGCAGCTGCTGCCCAAGCAGGTTGAGGCGTGGCCCGCATCCTCTTGACTCTCAGACAATCGCCCCGGCGCTGACAGAAGCGAGAAGGCGGGCCGGCGGCGCTGGAAGCTGGCGCTGAGTTGGAGAGAACACATCCCTGCAGTCGCTTGTGTGTCTGGGGTCTGGGGACGGGGGTGAGCCGCACGAGAGATCGATTTTTGCGCTCCCACAGCCGCCAGGGCGAGCTAAAAAGGTGTTTTCGAAAAAAAAATCATCGAGTTCGTCCATCGCATTCGCTCGGCGGGCCTCCGTCGGCCGTCGCTCCGTCCCACAGCCGCCCGGGCGAGCCAGAGGGCTGCCTCCTGTTCTCGAAGAAAAAAAGCGGGTTGGATGTCTGTGGGACCGAGAGAGCGATGTGCCTGTCCTTGCGTTTGTTTTCATTACATCGAAGGCGAAGAACACACACAGGCGAAGCTCATTCTAGTTCCTCGTGTTCCACCCGCCGCCCGCCTCGCCAACTCCGTTTGTGCCAGCTCTCGCTTCCCGCCAGCCCGCCCGCCACCACCTCCCCGCGCCGCGCCGCTCCATCCTGCCGTTACCGCGCCGCCCTCGCTCCTTCCTGCTGCCGCCCCCCCCTCAGCCGTTTGACCCGCCGCCTAATGCCTCGCCGTTCGCTGCCGTAGTCCGCCGTCGTGCCGCCATTCCTTACCGTGCCGCTCCTTCTATGCCGTACCGCCCCTGCCGTTTAGCCCGCCGTCTCTCCTGCCGTCCATTGCCGCCGTGCCGCCGTTCCGCCGCTACTGTGCCGCCTTCCTCGCGCACACACACCTTACCTCCTGCTCGACTGAGTTTGCGCTGAGAAGTGACCCGAGCCGCCGGGTGCCCCGCAGCGGCCTCGCTGGGCCAGAACACCCGGTCCGCGAGTGCTCCGCAGCAACCTCGCTGAGCCAGAACGTCGGCTCGCGAGGTGGGGTGCTAGTATGAGACCGATCCGTCGCAGTTCTCTTGCTCCAAGCGCTTGCGCTTCGGCGGTTAGTGGTGCACTAACCTCCGAGAAACCCTTCGGGTCGCTCCTCATCGCAAACCCTGTCAGCAGAGTCCTCCTGCGGGAATGTACGTAAGAGCTACATACACTGAGAAAAAAAGTTGGCTGGACTTCATCGGGAACTTCGCGGTGAGCTTCGCAAAGACATTCGGCGAAATGCTGTGCGTCGCCTCCTCGACGGCCTCTGATCCGAATGACGCCGAGATGACGGAGGTTGCGTGGACCGCAGAGCCGCAGTGGGCGCCCAGCCGAAGTGGGCACCCAGCCGCGCCGCCGCCGACGCCGTTTGCCGCGAGTGCAACCCGGCAGCCGTGGCTGAAAGTGCCGCTGCAGAGCTGGTCGCAGCCACGTCCTACGCCGCAGCCAAGCAGCCCGCCGTCTGCGACGCGCGCGCGCGCCTCCTTCTGCAGTCCCGAGCTGCTCGGCGCGATGACGGCGCTCGGTGAGCGATTGACCACCTCCGCCTTCACCTCCATTCCACCCCACCTCCGCCACCGCCCACAATCGCGGGGCACGCGCGTCGCCGCACACCGCCCACAATCGCGGGGCACGCGCGTCGCCGCACACTCCCGCCCTGCCTGAGCGGCGTGCCCTCTCGCAGGCTTGCAGCGGTCGGAGCCCTCGATGCTTGGGCGCGGCTGGTCGACTGTTGTGACGGAGGATGGGCAGATGTGCGCGCAACACGTCTCTGGCGAGCTATCGTGGCAAGACCACCCCGAGAGCCATCCTCTCTGACCGCCGAGGCGGTGCGAGATTAGATTGTGGCGTGGGCACCCGACCCTGCGGCTGCTGGCCGCCTGCCGCCAACCTCTCTCCCGCCTTTTCGCTCAAGCGGTGGTATGTCTGTCGTCGGTCCGGTGGCGGCGGACGGGCCGACGACGGGCGGGCCCGGGCGGCCGGGGGCGCGGGGGGTAAACGGGGGCCTCGAGGGCCGCGGGGCTGCGGGTTGGTGGTGCATGTTCTCCATGCTAGAGAAAGTCTACTAGAGTACGCCATTGGCAACCATTTTTTTTCGCCTTTGTTTCTCATGGAGAGTTAGTAGCAGTAGCACAAGGGGGCGGGACAGTCACAGCGCGCACCGGCCAAAGCCGCCGCGCCGACTGAGAGAGGCAGCACACCAGCAGGCACACGCCACACACGCACACCCGCGAGGAGGGACGACACAACGCGCCACCGGGTCTGCCCGTGGGCAAGCGCGCGAGAGAGAGGCGCGGGGACGGCGCCCGCCCCGTGCCGCGTCACGGGAGCTTCTCGGCGGGGGCACTCGGCGCGTCGCTCCGCTCTGCAGGTCCACCCGCAGATCCGCCGCCAGGGGGCGCCTAGGACAGATATCGGGGTTGTTGGAGAAGGCTGGTAGGAAGAGCCGGGCGTCCGCAGCGGCGCAGGCGGGCGGCGCCGCCCCCCCGGCCTGAGCGCGCCTCCAATCTCTCGGGCAATCTCGCGTCTCGATCCGTCTCGTCGGCACACTCTCTCCTTGGTTGAAAATCTCTCGCACGCAGTCTCGGCGGGAGGCGCCGATTCGGGGTTGAGGTTCGAGCCAAAGAAGTCGGAGACCTCGGCGTCGACGGCGGTGCTCATCTCGAGGTCGTCGATCGCCTTGCCGCGGCGAGAGGGCGGGCGGGGAGGTGCAGGGGCGGTAAGGGCGGCGGAGATTGCGGGTGGGTGAGGGAGAGGCGACGCGAGAGAGGTGGGCACGCAAGAGAGAGGAGAGAGGGGAGCGAGTGTGCGGGCGGTGGTGGCGCCTTGTCCTGCGCCTCAAAGTAGCTCGCCTCCAGCTCGTCGTACTTTCCGCGCACGAGCAGCCCTACGGAGCTTCCGAGAAGGTCGGGGCCGCTACACAGGCCGCGCCTCCCGCGCACGGGGTCAGAGACCGACAAAGATGGTGGTGACGAGGGTGGCGGCGGCGATGGAGATGCCCGCGAGGAAGGTCTTTCCAAACATGTCGGCCCCCACCAGCACACTCGCGCTGTCAGCAGCGCTCAAGGCAGCGGCAGCCGCGAGCGGCTCGGCAGTTGCGCTAGGCGGCCGCGCACGCGCTGTTCGCGTTGCAGCAGGACGCAGCGAGACCGTCCGCAGCGAAGGCGAGGCGACCGCTGCTCGCGGAAGAAGGAAGGCGGCAGTGTGCAGCGATAGGGAAGCAGCGGGCGCGACGGCGGCCGCGATGAGGAGGAGGAGTCTCAGTCTCATGTGTGTTGCACAAAAAAAAAGACACGCCGCATCTCGAGGTTCTCGAGGTGGATATCCACACTCCTCTCCTTAAAATCCCTGTGTGGTGGCGGCGTGCCGTCCTCCCATCCCTCCCTTGGGTTGTCTGTTTTCTTTCTTTCTTTCTTTTGAGGTGGATATCCTTTGGCCGCGTTGGGTAGCGAGGATTGGTGAAGAGCGGATTAGGGAGGCGGGAAAAGCCACAAAAAGCCGGGCAGCCTCCCGTTACGCGATTGCTCGCGAAGCGCAGCATGATGCGCGGCCAGCGTGGGAGGAAGTCGGCGCCGACGCTGCCAGAACTAAGACGAGACCGCGACCGACGGCGAACGCGGTATGGATGGGACGCGAGACAGATGATGACGACACGCTCGAGCGACACACAGACACAAACAAGCTCACAGGACACACAGCCAGGTTGGCTGCCACACACCCTGAGTGGACGTACACATCACTCAAGGCCACGTTCCCCCTGCCACCCCCCCCAGCATCTCTCTCTCTCCCCGCGGTGCCAAGGGACACACAACAGCAAACAAACACAGACAGGCGACAGGGGCTAACGTGTGAGGCTAGAGCAGACTGCTCCGCCTCTAGCAATCTTGCGTCATTCACCTCTAGCAATCATGCGTCATTCACAGCCTTGTTATGAGAAGAAAAAAACACTTGAACTAAACGCCGTCTTTGGGGGCTCCGAGATCATGTTGCCGCTCCTCTTCCCCTGTGCCGCTCCAACGCAGCGGGCGATCCAATTCGCAAGCGGGCCAACCCACAACTGCCTCGACGGCTGTGTTGCCAATCCGCACCTCGTGGACGGCGACTGCACCAAGATGTGGGACCTGAACTGCGGCTGCGCCGCAGATTCGTCGCCCCACTCGCCGGTGTGCGGTCCTCCTGCGGTCATGGGCGCCCTCTGCAATGCGGGCACGAGCGCCAGCCTCTCCTGCCAACCCGGTGCCGGGCAGGGAGCGTATCCTGACTGCAAGATCGGCGTCGACATCGGCTGCGGCTGCGCAATCAACGAGTTCCTGCCGACGGAGGCGGTGCAGGAGACTGCCTCCGGTTATGAGGGCGCCATCATGACTGCGAAGGCAAGCTCCTTCCTCCTGACGCCGCAACTCGCCCACTGCGCGCCGGTCGAGCAGATCCCGCCGTGCCCTCCCGGGGGACTGGTGAGTGGGGATCGCATCAACATCTCCCTGCCGTGCTGGCCTGAGATGCCGGCGAAGTACAATTGCGAGTACCCCTCGGTGCCTAGCCCGTACTACCTTCCGGGCAAGAACATCTTCGTGTGCACCCCGTCTTGGGATCCCAATTGCGGGTGCGGCTCCGACTTTTCGGCTGCGGCCCGTCTCGTGGGCCCAGTCTTTTATTCCGAGCAAGTTTGCAAGAACGGGACGAGGCCAAGCATTTCCTGCCAGCCGGGCGCCGGAGGGCCAGGTGGGTACCCGGACTGCAAAGTCGGCGTGGACACCGGCTGCGGCTGCGCCAAGGACGAGTTCCCGTTGACGTTCGAAGGGGGATTTCTCGTTCCGCCCGTCTCGTCTGAAATGTGTGCTGAGGTCTTTTGAGGAGGCGCACGTCGCTTCCAGGCGAGGGAGGTGGGCGCAGCCCTAGCATCTGGTGAAGCCCCTCTGGGGGGGTCGGCACGCAGGGAAATTAAGGCGCCTTCCCATTTGCCGCCGCCACACAGGGAAATTAAGGGAGAGGCATGTGGTGCTTGCCGTCGCCCACCCTTGGGCGGAGAGACGGTTTTTAGCAAGTTCTCTCGACACTGGGCACGGGACTGGCGCGCGTGACTGGCGCGCCTGAATAATTCTTTTTCCCGTGAGAGGGAGGTACATTCTTTTCCCCGTGAGATAGATTGATGTAAACTTTTTCTGCAGACGCGCAGGGCGAGACGAGGGAGGGAGCAGGACTTTGCGGAGATCAGCAGGAGGATGTACGAAGAGATTAGGAGCAGCAGGGACCCGAGGGACCATGTGGAAGACGGCTAGTGCTAGCTAGTCCCCCACCGGGAGGACGACCCCGGCTAGTCGCCGACCACACCCACAAAGCACCCTGCACAAAGATCGCAAGGGCGGGGACCTGTTCCTTTTTACCCACCTCACAGTAGAGAGGTGTCCGTTTTATTAATTTATTTATTTCTAGGCCCCTAAGGGCGAGATCTTTTCTTTAACGCCCTCGCCATCGCCGCCATCGCTACCGCCGCGGCCCGAGATGAGCCGAGATGGCCCGAGATGAGCCGATATGAGCCGAGATGAGCCGAGATGAGCCGAGATGCGCCGAGTTTGATTCGTGTTCGTGTGTGTGTTTTGTTGCTTTGAATGGGTTTGAAGAGGCTATCCGCGTTTCTCAAAACCCCATTTTGCTGCGCCCTAGTAACAAGGCTAGTTTACCAGCTTCGGTCGACCTACGAGCTCAAGGGCTTGTAACTAGCCCCGTTACCATGCTACTACCTGAGCCCTGGTGTCGAGGTGTCGAGGGTGTCGAGCTTAAGGAAGTGCACAGAAAGATTGTTTTCAAACTATGTAAGTATGGTATTGGGGGATTGGTCAATGGCTCTCTAAGTATTGGAAATATATTGGAGGATTGGCGCTCAAAAAGTCAGGTTTTGAGTGCGTCATTTTCACTTTCGAGGCGTCCTCCGTGTCGTTATTTCCGAGGTATGCTGTCGCCACCGCGTCGGCGTATGCGTTGCAGGCTATTCCCACGTGTGCTGGCACCCACATGAAGACCACCGCCTCTAGCTTCGATCTTATAGTATGCAATCGCCTCCAGGAGCCCGCCTCTCTCCCAGTCCCTCACCTCAGGCCTTCTGGCATCCCTTTGCGGTGCGCATTCTCAATCTCAACCCTTTTTTCCTGGCTCACAAGCTAAAGATGTTCACGGGCCCTCTCCGCATGGGGAGCCCCGGGTACTCTTTAGCTGTACTCGTCTAGGCAGGGGTTGTCTCAATCTGCTGCAGCGCGGGTTTGCAGTCACATAGTACTAAGCACCGCCGCGATTGCGCATCGCTCGCGCTCGCCATTTTGCGTAAGTATGCGAGTATCGCGTACATCTCCGCGTCTATCGGCTCGTACTTGATTATCTTTCGTGGCCGCAGAATTCTTTTGCCAGGGGCGCCGGCAGCGTTGCGTTTTTTCTCACACCACGTGCCTCTGGACCGCCGTTCTTGAAAAAGTGGGTGGGTGGGTAAACGCTTCGTAGGCCCCGGATGGTGAGTGGGTGGGTGGGTGGGTGGTGGGTGGGTGGTGGGTGGTGGCAAATGCTCGCCTCACAGTCCAAGATGGCGGCTCACACGCCCAACCATGCTCTGGTGCGTCGATTGGGTCGCTGCCCGTGTCTCTGTCTTATCGGCACGACGACAACAAGCTACCCCTAACCCTAACCCTAACCCTAACCCTAACCCTAACCCTAACCCTAACCCTAACCCTAACCCTAACCCTAACCCTAACCCGAAGAACTCTCGGAGCATTCACCGAGAGCTCGCGTCAACGGACCGCTGGTTCCTCCATTCCGACCCGAAGCGGCCCGTTCTTAGGAGCTGCACAACGGCTTGAACTCTCTGACCCTAACCCTAACCCTAACCCTAACCCTAACCCTAACCCTCGGCTGTGGGTCAGGCTGTGCTGTATAAGGCGCGCGAGGCTGGGTGCTTTGCTACCTTGCTTGTGTCTCCCGTGGCCGGGACGGTTGGTTGGGTGGTGGGGGTGGGTCGGTCGGTGGGGGTGGGTTTCCTCGCCTCATCAGCCGGGCCGTGAGGTGGGTGGGGCTGGGGGTGGGTGGGTGGTTCCAAGCCTCAGCCGGGCCGTGAGGTGGGTGGGGTGGGTGGGTGGTTCCAAGCCTCAGCCGGGCCGTGAGGTGGGTGGGTGGGTGGGTGGCTCAAGAAGCTCGTGCACGTGAACGGAGGTCCAGAGGCACGTGGTGTGAGAAAAAACGAAACGCAGTAGGCCCGCCCACAGGCAAGATGCGCCAGGCGGCCGCGCCAGCCGGATCGTCTCCAAAGAAAGCGGGCCAAGGCTTCTCAGCGCACGTCGGCGCCAAGGCGGCGCAGGCGGCGGCGCTGCAGGCGCTGCACACTCTCCGCCGCGCGCAGCCTGCACCTTGCGTCTCACGGGCCCAAGTCTCGCCAGCCCGCCCGCTGCAGGTGGCTTCGTCGCTGTTTTACGAGGGCATCGGCCACTTCGACGGCGCACGGTACGAGGAGGCCCTCGTCTGCTTCGAGCAGGCCCTCGCCATCAACGAGAAGTGCCTCCGCCGTAGATGCACCAGTCGCGCGCACCGACTCGCCTTCTGCCGCCGCCGCACACAGCGGCTGGCGCCGCCCCCCGCGCGTACGCGGAGGGGCCTCGCCCCCTCTCTGCGCCTCCAGGGCCTGTCCCTCGCCGGAGCCCGCCGCATACACCCCTCCTCAGCGACGCCGTCGTCCTGCAGAGTGGTTGCGGTGGACGCCGCACGCCAAGACTTGCCGCAATGACGCCGCATGCCCGGGGTAGGTACCTGCTGCCGGCGTCGTCGGGGTACATCCTCTGCTGCAACAACATCGCGGCGGTGCACGAGCGCATGTCCAACCCGCCGGCGGCGGAGGTCTACTTTGGAAAGGCGCTCACCGCCTTGCAGACGCCTCCGCCAAAGGAGGAGAGGGGCGGCGAGGCGAGGCATCGACGCGCCGAGCTCCTCCGACACGTGCGAGATGGGCCGAGATGCGCCGAGATGCGCCGAGATGCGCCGAGATGCGCCGAGACACGCGACCGAGATACAGCCGAGATATATAGCCGAGATTCGCCGAGCTCCTCCGACACGTGACTGCAACCGCTCCTCGGCCATAGACCGGCGAGGAGTACCGGCGAGGAGTACCGGCGAGGAGAGAGACTGCTCCTAGAGACGCTCCTGAGACAGTGCGCTGAGGAGCGAGACCGTGGTCAGATCGGGCTCGCCTGGTCCGCCTCTCAGGTGCAGAACAAGCTTGCCGAGCTGCACAAGCTTGGCGACCTCGCAGCCGCGGCCGGCTCTGCGCGCGACGGCGCGGCGGCGGCCGGTGGCGGCGAGGAGGACGGCGCAGAGGGCGGCGGCGCGGCGGCCGCAGGGGCGGCGGCAGGGGCGGAGGGCGGCGGAGAGCGAGGCGGTGCGGATTGGGGCGAGGGAGGCGGAGGAGGAGACGGTGACGGCAGGGGGGGCGGCGCTGGTGGCGGCGATGGCGGCAGAGGTGGCGGCGATGGCGGCAGAGGTGGCGAGGCGTCTGTTGCGGACGGCGCTGCAGCGCCGCGCAGCCTGCGCGACCCGCTCCAGGAGACCTCGCCTCTGGAGGGGGAGGCTGGCGGGGGGCCTGACACCCCCTCCCGCGGCGAGGTCACCTGGAGCGGGTCGAGCCGTCCGGGCACCTCCGCCCTTCCCTCCGCCGCCTCCGCCGCCGCAACACCCGCCGCCCCGCCAAACACCGCCGCCTCCTCCGCCTCCGCCTCCTCCTCCGCCGTCCCCGCCGCCCTCCCGAGAGTGCCTCCCAGCCCCCTCGCCCCTGACGACGGCGGCGACGGCAGCAGCGCCGACGCCGCCGCGGCCCTCCCGCCGCCGTCGCCGGACGCGATCCCGCGGCTGGTGATGTCGCCGTCGGCAGCGGAGGCGGAGAGGGTGGTGGAGGAGGAGGAGGCGGCGATCAAGGCCGCGCTGGCGGCGGAGGTCGCTGCCTACGAGACGGCGCTCGCTGAGGCGGAGGCGGGCGGGGCGGAGGCGGGCGGGGCGGAGGCGGCGGAGGCGGCTGCCGCGGCGGAGGCTGCGGCGGCGGAGGAGGCGGCTGCGGCGGTGGAGGAGGCGGCTGCGGCGGCGGAGGAGGCGGCTGCGGCGGCGGGGGGGGCGGCTGCGGCGGCGGGGGGGGCGGAGGGGGGGGAGGTGTCGCCTCCGGGGTTGGTGCAAGGCGCGACCAGCCACTCTCTCGCCACGGAAGAAGCGGAGGCTGCGGGGGCGCTGCGGCGCGCCGCCGAGGCGGACGCGGCGGCGGCGGCGGCGAGCTGTCCGTCTGCGGGTGCCGAGTTTGAGTGGCGTGCCGGCGAGGGCAGCAGCGAGGAGGAGGACGCGGGCCCGCTGGACGACCGGGTGGAGGGGGCGATCGACGCGATCAACGCGGCGAGGGACGCGATGAACGCGCGCCAGCTCGACCTCGAGGCGGCCAAGCGCGAGCTGGGCGCCGCGGAGGCGCAGAGTGCGGCGGAGATCACGCGGAGGAGAGGAGATCACGCGGGAGGAGATGGTTGGAGTAGCCGGTGAGGGGGTGAGTCACTCCCCCGCTCAGGGAAGGAGATGGTTGGAGAGTAGCCGGTGAGGGGGTGAGCCACTCCCCCGCTCAGGGAAGGAGATGGTTGGAGTAGCCGGTGAGGGGGTGAGTCACTCCCCCGCTCAGGGAAGGAGATGGTTGGAGTAGCCGGTGAGGGGGTGAGTCACTCCCCCGCTCAGGGAAGGAGATGGTTGGAGTAGCCGGTGAGGGGGTGAGTCACTCCCCCGCTCAGGGAAGGAGATGGTTGGAGTAGCCGGTGAGGGGGTGAGTCACTCCCCCGCTCAGGGGAGGAGATGGTTGGAGTAGCCGGTGAGGGGGTGAGTCACTCCCCCGCTCAGGGAAGGAGATGGTTGGAGTAGCCGGTGAGGGGGTGAGCCACTCCCCCGCTCAGGGAAGGAGATGGTTGGAGTAGCCGGTGAGGGGGTGAGTCACTCCCCCGCTCAGGGAAGGAGATGGTTGGAGTAGCCGGTGAGGGGGTGAGTCACTCCCCCGCTCAGGGAAGGAGATGGTTGGAGTAGCCGGTGAGGGGGTGAGTCACTCCCCCGCTCAGGGAAGGAGATGGTTGGAGTAGCCGGTGAGGGGGCGAGTCACTCCCCCGCTCAGGGAAGGAGATGGTTGGAGAGTAGCCGGTGAGGGGGTGAGTCACTCCCCCGCTCAGGCACAGACCGCGCTCGAGATCACGCGGCTGCGCGAGCACGAGCACCGCGACAACCTCGCACAAGTCGAGAAGTACGAGTTGCTCAAGCAGAGGGCGGCGGAGGCGCGGGCGGCGGCCGAGGCGCGGGCTGCGGGCGGCGAGGACGCCGCCAGCAGCGGCAGCGGCGGCACCGCGGCCTCGGAGGCGACGACGGCGGCAACGCCGATGGCGCCGACGCCGGCAGAGCTGGCGGCGGTCGAGGCGATGGAGGCGCAGTCGCTTCGCATGGCTTGCGACCTTTCCGACGTCTTCATATCGCTGGTGCTGCCGCACCGCACCACCCGCGGGACTGAACCCACGCTGGGTTCGGTACTCTGGAGGTATGGTACCAGGTGCCGTACTTCACCTACGTGGGCGTCGCCGAGCAGTCCCTCGACGACGCGAGATAGAGCCGAGATAGAGCCGAGATAGAGCCCAGGTATAGCCCAGAGATGGCCCTCAGCCCTGCTGCCGTTATGTTTCTATTTCTAGGCGCGTTTCTGGCGGCAGCACCCCCCCCAAAGAAGAAATACTGCGCGCCATGCTTCTGCTCCTAGGCGCGCGCGGCGGTGGGGGCGGCGCAGGCGGCGGTGCGCGCGGCGCGGCGAGACTACCACACCTCGATGGACAATCTCGAGCAGATCTCGCTCGACATCCAGCGGGCGCAGGCGCACCGCTACCACACCACCCACCGCACCCGAACCCACACTGGATTCGACCACTCTGGGGGGTATGGTACCAGGCGGAGGAGCGGAGGCGAGCCGAGGACGAGTCGGCAGCAGCGGCGGCGCAGTCGGCGTGGGAGGCGCTGCTCGCCGCGACGGACGTGAGCGAGGAGGCGATGAGCGTGCCCGCCGCGCAAGCGGCCCTCGCAGTCGCGCGCGAGGCGCGTGCCGTGTCGATCACGAAGTGACACGAACTGAGATCACAACGGTGGGAGTCGTTCCCGGCGGACTCTCTCGTCCGCCCCATTCATCGGCCACCGGTCGGGCCCTTCCTCCTCAGCAACTCACTAAAGTCGTCGCTGCGAGCAGGCGCGCGTCGAGACAGAGCGGCTCGAGGCGGCGGCTGCCCTCATCGAGGGCGCAGAGGAGGCGCAGCGCCAAAAGGCAATCTCGGACGCCGTCGCGGCGGCCAAGCGGCACATACAGGCTGCGCGCGGCGGGGCGGCGGGCGCGGCCGAGGCGCCCTGATCGCCGGCGTGATAGTAGTAAATCGGGGTGCCCCCAGTGTCGCGTTATGTTGTCAGTCAGTCGCGTGTGTGTGGCCGCCGACCACAAGCGCGGTCTTTTTACTTTTAGCGAAAACGTGTCTGAAACTTTTTCTCGCAGCTCGAGCTCTCGAGCTCGACCACACATATTAACCCCACTTTTCACACGACTCGCGCTTGCTCCTAGTTCGTAGTTGCCTTAAAGTTGCTTTTTTGCGGCTCCAGCCCAACTGCCCAAGTTCCAGCCCTCGGCCCCTGCGTCCTGGGTCTCTTCAGACGACTTCACACTCCAAGGGGCTGTTCACACACACACACACACACACACACACACACACACACACACACACACACACACACACACACACACACACACACACACACAACTCACAAGTCAACTCGGCTTCAAACCACAAACGCGACCCCGTCTCGCGCGATCCCGCGTTTCAACTTTCACCTTTCCACCGCTTGCATCTCATCATGATATACACAAAAAAGGGCCGCACGCACGTGCGTCCTCGGCGCGCTGTCTAGATATTCCTCCCTCCGGCGGAGCTCATCAATCGACTCGTGGGTACAGCGACGCTTCTTGGTAGGGCGGCGGGCGCGGTGACGCAGCCTGTCCATCACCGCCCAACCCCAAGGTTGCTGTCGGAGGCGGCAAGTAGGCGTCGAGGGCACGTCGATCAAGGGCGACCTCCGTGTCGCCCCCAAACGCCCCGAGGTATTGCGCCGCGGTCTCGGCGTCGGCTACTTCAACGGAACAAAATCGGGCCGCTGCGTCCTGCCGTGCGGGCTGCTCCAAGTCGCTCGCGGGCCGAGTACGCGGCGGCGATGCCTCCGCCCGCCGCCGCGCGGCCGTCGCGATGCGCGTCTGCTCGAGGGCAACCATCTCCGAGGATGACTCTCGGCTGCACCTCGGTGGGGTTTCGGCAGACATTCGTGACTGCGCGAGTGCGATCTCGAGGGCGGCGAGGTCGCCCCCATCGTCGGTTCTTTCGTCTGCTCGGACCCTCTCCCCGTGGGCATGCGGGGTGCGTCGCTGGTGTAGGGAGATGCCCAGGGGGATGGAGCTGAAATAAGAGCGCAGAGCCGCCACCTCGCTCCACAGTCCATTCCACTCTCGGCTGGCCGCGTTTCTCGAGCGCCGCCGCATGTAGGCGACGACACAGCACTGCAAGGCGGAGAGGATCAGGAGGAGGGAGACAAAGGGCAGGCCGGTAGAGACGAAAAAGCGGAGGTAGCCAGACGCGGGTCGGCCGGGCGGGCAGAGGGGCTCCTGCACATCAGGTAAGACGCGGAAAGGAGGTCACGGGAGTGGAAAGGAGAGGCAAGGGTATCGGGCGCGGCGCCTGCAGCGCGTTTCCGCGGCCGAGCGGGTCGTCGCATGATGGGTACAGAAAGTTGAGGCCTTGGAGGTCGTCCTCGCTCAGGCATGTGCGCGCTCTGTGCTGTGTCATTGAGAGCATGATGGAGCCGGCTGCACCTTTCAGCGGCGCTTCGAGCTCGATGTTTGCGGGTGTGAGAGGCCTGTGGCATGTCTCGGGCGCCCCGAGATGCACGCTCGCCTTGGCGCGCAAGTTGAGGCGCGGGAACTCGTCGGGATGGTCAAAGCCGAGGATATGGCCCGCCTCGTGTGCGACTGTGGCTGTAAAATCGTAGCAGTCCCAGCAGGGCAGAAAGACAAAGACGTAAAAGACGGGCGCCGCGGCGAGGCAGTAGATGGCGACGAGAAGGCTGATGAGTGGCAGTCGCGCAAAGGCGCGGAGGGCCGCGTCGCAGCGCGTCGAACCCACTGGAGGCCGGGAGAGGGGCTCGTCGTCTCGGCGCGACGCCGTGGCCGTGCAGATAGGCAGCAGGCACAGGCAGCACAGGCAGCCGAGGACGATGCTGCTCAGGCTGCACACTGAAACCACCACAACGTGCATGGTTGTCAGCTCGGACCACTCGCCGCCGTCGCTCGCGTGGAAGCGGTGGCAGAAGGCGGCGTCCAGGTACCAGCATAGCTGTGAGCTGAGCACCACCTCAGACCGCCCAATGCCGTTCCGCTGCTGCAGCGTTGTCCCCGACGTGAGCACCGTCGGCATATGGCCCGCTCTGCCCCTCTGCACGATCGCGGCATACCTCTCCTCGAAAAGCCCTCCCTCGTGCAGGCGGTCGGTGGTCAGAAAGAGCTCGGCGTTACCACACGCGGCGCCCTGCCGCCCTGCCGCCTCCCATTCCTCCCAGCACGCCTCGGAGACGTCCTCGAAGTGAATGCGCTTGTGGTTGATGGCCCACGTGTCGAGAGCTGTCGCCACCGCCTGGGCACACTCTCCTGGTTAAACTTGGAGCACTTGGAGTGCAGTCAGTAACCGCACGCCCAGGGCCGGGGAGCTGAGAAGCGCACCCAGCGGGCCGGACGATTGCGGATTGGCATCGGGTTGCGGGCAAAAGAGCCCTCTAGCCCTGGGGGGTGCGCGGTCGCAGGGCCATAACACGGGTCTGTGACTGAGTGAGTTTTCTTGAGGAAACGAAACCACGACGACACACACCAAAAGAAAGAAAGAATTTCGCAACCAAAGGCTCTCGCACACGCACGATTCACACGACAGACAAGGCGCAGAAAACACACACGCGGGAGGGATGGGAGGACGGCACGCCGCCACCACACAGGGATCGACACACACCAGTATGTATGTATGTAGTAAGGTGAAGAACAGCCAGGCTCGGACTGGACACCAACGCGGTATGGGTGGACGCTGGACAGATGATGACGACACGCAAGAGCGACACACAGACACAAACAAGCTCACAAGACACACAGCCAGCGGGCTGCCACACACCCTGGAGTTGGCGCACACATAACTCAAGGCCACATCCTCCCTGTCGCCCCCCCCAGCACTCCACCGTGCCGATAATTCATTGGATGAGTGTTCGCAAGCAGAAGTGCGTGTGCTGATTCTAGGCCGCACGCCGTAGGTCGGTAGGTAGTAGCCGTGGCCCGGATACTTGGGCACCAGGTTTTCTTCATTTTCCAGGCAGTCGAGTTCGCGCTGTTTGCTGTCGGTCCATCGGTCCGTGCTCCGACCTGGGACCGGCCCCGATCACGCGACCCCATGATCTCCGGCTCCTGCTGCGCCATCGTCGCGCTCGTCGCGCTCCTCTGCCTCAGCCAGCTTCGCATCTTCGCGCAACGGCGGGAGCTCGCCGCCGCGCGAGAGCTTGCCAGCCTTGCTTCCGCCCGCGACCATCGGATCAAGGCTCGCCTCAAGCGCATGCACCGGCTGCTGAGGGCGGCCGAGGTGCGGGAAAACGTGTCCGTCTGCCCACCGCCTTCGCCTGTTGCCACGAAACCCGCCAGTGGAGACAGCGCAACTGGCACCGGCACCGGCTCTGGGACAGCAGAGGATGGCCTGCCAGCGTCTCTGCTTCTCAAGGCGCAGCGTTCCTGGGACTGGCGCGCGATCGCGTCGGAGGCGCTGCGTCCGTGGGGCTCCATCCGGAAGGAGCAGCTCGACACCGCCGTCGCCGCGTGCAACGACAACGGGACGATGTACTGTCAGCGTCTGCAGGCCACTGCCTAGACACTTCCGAGACATTTCCTGGACACTTTCGAGAAAAGACGATGTACTGTCAGCGTCTGCAGGCGCACTGGGCTCGATGCTCTCCCCAGCTCTTCTTGTTCTCCCCCTCCTCCTCCTCCTCCTCCTCCTCCTCCTCTTCCCACAATCAACGCCTCTTCCGCACCCTGCGTCTCGTGAGCAGGTGCACAAGGGCTCGCTCTACCTCTATCTCCCCACATCTCCCCATCTCTCCCACAGGTGCACAAGGGGTCGCTCTACCTCACCGACTACCGCGCCATCTTCTTCGACCGCCACTACGCGCCCGCGCGGGTCTGGCCGCTCCTTGCGGCGCTGCGGCGCCACCGTGACTTGCCCGACGTCGACATCGTGGTCGCGGGCAACGATGAGCCGCGAGTGCCCGCCTTCCCCGGCGTCGCTCCTAGATCGGTTCTTAGGCTCTCTCGCCCCCCCCCCCCCCCCACACCCAGAGCCGACGGACGATCTGCACGTCAGTATCGCTACTACGAGCCTCCGCCAGACCTACCTCCGGCTCCACCCTACCCACGCCTAGCTCACCACCGGTCGGGTCCCGGCAGGCGTGGGCTCCTCGTGGGCCAAGACGTGCCGCCGCTGGCCAGGCGTCTGCCCTCCCCTACCCCACGGTACCCGAGCCCACCCTCCCCTACCCCACGGTACCCGAGCCCACCCTCCCCCACCCCACGGCACCCGAGCCCACCCTCCCCTACCCCACGGTACCCGAGCCCACCCTCCCTGGCCAGGCGAGAAGGGCGGGCCGCTCCCGCCGGCCATCTTCGCCTCCACCACCAGCCGCGGTGTGATGGACTTGCCGTGGCTCGACTTTGCATGGTACTTTCCTCGCAAGCCGCACAAGCTGCGCACGCCGCCGTGGTCCGTGCTCCACCCGCAGCTAGTCGAGGCGGGCGGCAAGGCGCGCCTGGGGGGGGGACACGCATCGAGACTGCCCGAGATCGAGCCGAGATCGAGCCGCGAGATCGAGCCGAGATCGAGCCGAGATCGAGCCTAGCTCGAGCCGAGATCGAGCCGCGAGATCAGGTGCGGTGGGAGGACAAGCTCGAGATAGCGATGCACACGGGCAACGTCGGCTCCGTGCACCGCAAGAGCCTCGCGGCGGTGGCCGAGAAGGCGCCTCGCGAGGTGTTTGTCAACGAGCTCTTCATCGGCGATCACGGCGAGCTGCCGCCGAGACCACCGGCCGAGATGGGGAGATATGGGGAGAGATGGGGAGATATGGGGAGAGATGGGGAGAGATGGGGAGACCACCTGCCGAGATGCGAGAGACAAGCCTGTCGATCCACAGCCGAGGTGCGGCCGAGGTGCAGCTCCTCATCTCGGCGACCTCGGCACGGTGTCGCGAGCAGGCAAGATCCGGCAGACGTGCAAGGAGATGGGGCTGCACGCGACGGGCGGCTACCAGCAGCACAAGTGCTTCATGCGCTTCGAGGACCAGTGCGGCTACAAGTACCTGCTCAACTCGGCGTCGATCGGCTACGCAAACAAGTTCAAGTCCCGACCTGCCTCGCGGCCACCCCGCGGCGCGGTGCGTGAGCGGCGCCTCTTCACGGCTCGCGGTGCGAGCAGGTCGCTGCTGCTCTGCGGCTCGGTCGTGCTGTACGTCCGCGAGGGGATGCGCCACAAGGAGTTTTACGAGTACGGCCTGCTGCCGGGCGTGCACTACCACGCGGTCGACACGGCGGCCGAAGTGCCCGCCGCCGTCAAGTGGCTGCGCGAGCATGACGAGTACGCGCGCGCCGTGGCGGCGGCGGGGCGCGCGCGTATGTCTGCGCTCAACGAGCCGGCGCTGACCGACTTTGTGGCGGAGCTGCTGACGCAGTACTCGACGCGGCAGTCCTTCAAGGTCGCGCCGCTGCCGGGCGCCGCGCACTGCCGGCTGCGAGGAGTGGGCTGCGGAGCGGCGCCTCCTCACGGCCACCGGCGCTGCTGAGCAGGCGCCGTGCGGATCGACTGCGAGGACGACCTGTGGCGGCACTATGCGCTCTCGCAGGGCTGGGCGCGCCTCTACCTCAAAGAGGACAACGACACGTGCATACACCCGATCCCCGCGGGCGCCACGCCCGGGCCGCCGAGAGCCCCCGAGAGCAGCCGAGAGCAGCCGAGAGCGCCCGAGATGAGCGTAGGCGCCACGCTCGGGCCGCCGGGCTGGGGGGGCGCATACAACGGCTCCAAGCCTCGCTGCCTCGCCGGGCGCCGCCGTCGCCCGCGGCGGGGACCCTCCGGAGAGGGGGCGCTCGACAAGGTTGCTCGGAGCTCTCCCCTCTTTGCGTCGTTAGGCACGACCTCAACCCCCGCGCGCAGCCCGACGCTTGCAAGTTCGAGAAGCCGTTTTCAACCTCCGAGTCGTTTGCTCCGCCGGGCGAGTTCCCGGTCAACGCCCCCCCCCCCCCCCCCACCCCACCCCCACCATCACCACCACCCCACCACCACCCCACCACCCCCGCGCGCAGCCTGCTGATCCCCACCCTTCTGGGTTCGAAACTCACCGTTACGGATTGGCTTGCCGTAGGTCACCCACCCGCGCGACCGCGAGGGGTGGAACACCCGCTGGAAGAAGCCCGACGGCAGCTGCTGCGTGGGGCATGTGCCGCCGTTGTGATGCGCCGCGGGGAAGGGTCGGTTTGCGCGTGGCGAGGTCGTGTTGGCGGCGGAATCGGAGGACGAGGAGGCCGGACTTGGATCTATCTACATTTTTGCAGCTGCGTAGCTGCGTGGAACTTTTGAATTTGATGCTTGAGTCCATGTGGAGTGTTGCTGGCTGTGTTGCGCCGCCGAGGAGGGAACTTTCGCGCAAAAATCATAGCATTCACCTATTTAAGCGATATATGAATCCGATATATCTCGCACACGTGTGTGTCTCCTTCACGCTCTCGGGAACGCGGGCCGAGGCCCGAGCCCGAGGCGCCGCTGCCGCCGCCGCGCCGCCGCCGCCGCCGCCGCCGCCGCCGCCGCCGCCGCCGCCGCCGCCGCCGCCGCCGCCGCCGCCGCCGCCGCCCCCGCGGCCGGAAAAAACTAAAAAGAGCAGCCCTGCCTGTGTCTCGCTCTCGGCTCGCATCGGTCATCGCGTCCCGTGGCGTGCGGCTCTTAGCGGCAACCTTTGAAATTCCGTTTTACCTCGACCCAGCCTCCACGACTAAAATACGAGACAGCGCACCACCAGTCCAGGGTGAGCAACCTGCCCCGCTCCCCCCCCGACAGTTTACCTTTACCTCCCCCCCGACCACTCCACGTCTAAAAGACATGCGGCTTAAAAGTGCGAGGCCAAGTGCGCGTGTGGGTGTGTGAGCGGTGTGTGGGGCCTGCTGCCGAGGGCCGCAGACACTGCGCCGAGCTGCCATCACCTAAAGGCTGCCTCTAAAAACAGCGCTCACACCACGGCCGCGCCGCGAGCATCGATCGGAGCGACCGCTCATAACCCCCGGCGGCCCATCCGTCCCTGCCGAGCGCGAGGTTGAGCCCGTGCAGCCTGGCGCAGCGCAGCGGCGCCATCGGCGTGGGCGCCTCCCTGTCCATGCTTTCGTTCTGCCCGTTGGCGCGCACTCGGACGAGTCTCAGGCCGCGGAGCAGGCCGACCGTTACGTTTGCGGCCGCGAGCTGCTCGCACCACAGGTGCTCCGAGTTGCGCATGATGGCGTGCTTCCAGATCCAGTCGAGACGCGCAAGCGCAAGCGGAAGCAGCGAGGGGAGCCGGCCGATGGCGAAGCGGTCGTTGACGCCTGCAAACGCGCACTGCTTGCTTGCGGAGCAAAAGTCGTGGCTCCAGTCGGGGACGTGCACCTCGGCGGCGTCGTCGGGGCGCCACAGGAGCGGTGAAACGTAGAGGACATCGGGTCGAGCGAGCACTAGGTGCGTGTACGTGACGCCATGCGCGGCCATGTGTGCGGCGACGAGCTGGGCGCTCAGCTTCATCGAGAGCCGCGAGCGGAGGCTTTCGGTAATCCGACCTACGCACCGCTGCTTGCGCATGCGTTCAAGGAAGCCGGCTACCAGCGGCTGTCAGCGGTGATCGTGTACCGCACGCCACTCTTGAGCTGGGCGCGCAGCACATACAACCAGCATATGGAGGGGAGTGGCCCAACTGTTGAGATGCACCTGCAGCCTCCCTCGCTTCTGTTTGACGAATTTGTGCCGCAGACCGTGGACGCGCTGGCTGAGAAGCTGCCGGTTGTGGTCAAGGCCTATCGGGATGAGGGGTTCGAAACGATGGTCATTGACCTGGCCGGCGCGAAAGAAAAGGGCTTTGACCAGGCAGACGTTGTGGCGTGCGATATCATGCGCGTGCCGTTTTGCAAGGAGTCAAAGTGGCGCTCAGGCACCTCGACCGGTGAGAGCAATTCGAGATCCGACTACCCGAACCCCATCGGGAATGTGGCCTGGGCATACTACAAGGCTGCTAGTGGCGATAACTGCTCCCTTCCTAAAGCTGGCGAGCGCGGCAAATCTTTTCGAGCCATGGTATCTGCTCTTGCCTCTGCAGGCTGCCTGGGGACACAAGGACAAGCCCCAGAGTACTCGTGCACAGACTGGGCGCAGGTGGAGAACCGGGCGGTGAGCATGGAGATGCGCTGGCGCACCTCGGCAACGCAAGTCTTCCATTCGCTGGAGAAGCCTCTTACTGAAAAGATTGTGCTTTGCTCGCTCAACGCGAGCTACCTGCTCGCAAAGCCAGACGCAAAGCGCGTGTTCAGGGCCTTTTGCACAAACGAGCAAGCGGACAAACTTGGCAGCGTCACACTTGCTAGACCGTCCCATTTGCTGGAACACGCGCCATCAGTTTGCCCCAGGGTGAGCAAGGAGTGCACGCTATCTCAAGCACATGGGGTTCTCATGTCAATCGCTGAACCAAACTCCACCAATATGAGCAGTAAAGTTATGCCTGGACTTCGTGGATTGCCAGGGGTTCAATTACATACAAAGTATTCAGCGGGTACGCCTATGGTCGTGCGTGTAGGAAAGACAGGCTCTGGAAGCTTACACGACTTCCTGAGACACAAGTGTGTCGTGGTCAATGAAGTACACGTCGTTGCCCCACCAGCAGCAATTCTGATTGATCCCAGCAGGAGCCCTTTGATCGTGGTCACGGTCCGCAATCCGGTGGCCAGGTTCATCTCCTCCTACAACATGTGGGTCGAAGAAAGTGCCTCTCATAGTGACTCTCGTAGTGCCTGCTGGGCGTCTGCTGACGAGCTGCTGCAGCGCTATGCGACGCTGAACAACCGCCGCCCTTCGCATGCCAATCAGTGCGATCTCACAGCAGCGCAGCTGTCTGCACCATGGCTAAGAAACTCACATGCGTGTACAGGCACGACCTGCGCGTTCAGCTTAGCCCATGTTGACAAGGGATTTTGCTTCTACTGGGCTGGAACCACTTGCGCCCTGCAGAGACGAGCTGCTCGCGGCGACATATTTGCCGTGGCCACAGAGACTCTCGAGGCAGATATGAGAGAGCTGCTCGTTTGGCTCGGTAGCCGTGGTCATCATGCGCACAACTCAAGCTGTGGAAGCCACAACCCGACGATGAGCCATGCGTCCTCTGGACAGACGAACCTGAGTGCGGCTTCACGCGCCATTGCGGAAAGATTATTGGCTGACGAGTTCCTCCTGGCCAACGCCCTCGTGAAGCTTTCGACCAACAAGGGTGCGGCCAGTTTTTACTGCACCGAGCAGGTCAGGGTTTCCGGTGTGTGCTTTCGCGCTCCACCTCCCAACCCGTGAAGCTTCTGGCGATGGGGCGGCAGAGGGAGAGACGATAACAGCGAGGGCAGTTGTGCAGCGGTGGACTGCGGGGGGGTCAGGTGGTGGCACGTGAGCCTTCCTCCACGTGCCTCCGACCCCCGACTGTACGTTTGCATGTAAAGGAACCTTCCATTGAAGGCGCCTGTCGCCTGAAGAGTGAAGTGTGTTTTGCATCTTCCCCTGTCTCGTGGTTTCTCGCTCTCTCACTGACGGCTGGTGTTGCGGCATACATGGGAGACGCTCCCTCACGGGGACAAATTGTGAAAGCGTGACCCAGCCACAGCGGCTGTTCTTGTGGGCCACGCTGCTCGCGCCAAGGTAAGGTAAGGTAAGGTAAATTTCTCCACACACACAAAGTGGTGGGGCAAGGGGGGGCGACCCTCGCATCTCCACACCCGGACACGGGCAGGAGCCCCACGGCGCGCCAAATGAATGCGCCGAGTTTTTCTTGTTTTTGTGTGCTCACACGCTAACAACACCACCGATGCGCCTTCGCCTACTACTTCTCGCCTCGGCCGTCGGAGCCAACGTCGTCACGACGACAGAGACGTTCGACTTCTTCTGGCGTGGCCAGTTCGCTGGCTTCATCGTCAAGGGCCAGTTCAGCTACAACCAGGCCGACGTCCCGCCGAACGGCATCGTGAGGGAGGAGCACCTGTCCTCTCCCTCGACGTGTCGTTCTATGATCCACAAGGCGTCCACCTTCGCACCTACTCGGACAATCACCTGCGGCCCGTCGACTCGTCTGGCAACCCGTACGTGAACTTCGCCTTCGACACCCTCTCGCAGGAGCTGCTCCAAGACGGCACCTACAACGTGGACGACGACATCCACCGCTACCGCAACGGGTTCGTCTTCGGCGAAGGCGACCCGTCAATGCGCACCTCTCCGACGACTGGGGGTGTCCAGTCCGGGCTGGCCTTCTGGTCTCGCCCCGCCGACAACAAGACGCCGCACCTTCACGTGGACGACTGGACGACGACTTCGGAACCGAGTAGAGGAGCGGGCTCCACGTGGAGGATATGGGGCGTTGACGTCGTCTGCGTTTTCCCTCTCCATCCCGCTCACGCTCCTCTGCATCGGTGGGCGGACGCGCCCTCCTCTTCGCCTCCGTCTCGACCTGTCCCGAGGGCTGCGTCGCTGCGTGAAGCAGCTGCAGTCGTGCTCGCAGCCCAAGAGAGGCAACTCTCAGGCAAGCGAGCCTAAGCGCCCTAGCCCTAAGCGTGTGCGGTCACGCCGCGCAGAGTCGAGCCATGTGAGATGTGTGAGGACGTGAGCACAAATAATGGGATGCGCGGGTTCTCTTTTTTTTGAAGCACGAGAATCGAGATCAGAGATCACGATTCACGTGCGTCCCTCGTCGCTCGCGAGACACGAGAGAGCTCAGAGGACAGTCAGTGATGACGGTGTTCCCAGAGAAGACAGAGCTCTACGAGACCATCAGGGTCAGACGACTAGTTGCAAATACGGGTGGTGTCACAATGACCACTTTTGATGTTTTTTTGTCCGTGTTGCTCCCAGCGCCCTCGCCCGCGCTCCCTGAGGCCATGGCTGGTGATACTAGTATGGGGGGCTACCTGGATACCGCGAGAGCGACCCAACTCGTCGACATCGTCCGATGATGGTGCCTCAAAGTCAGCCTCCGGAGGCTATCGTCGCGTCGAGCCGGCGGTGGCCGTGACATGTGGTTCCACCACCCCTCGCAGGCTTTGCCTCTGACCGCCACCGTTCCCAGGCTGCCTAATGGGATGGAAAGGAAGGCTGGGCGAGCGTATAGAAGCGTGCTCAACCTTGTCGTGGCAACCTGCACGGCAGCGCTGGCAGGCGCGATGAGCGTCGTGCCACCTGACCCGAGACGGGTCGCAGGCGTCGTACCGAGCGCGTCGAGACCGTGTCCTGATGCGCTCTGCACGGGTGAGTCACGTCGGCGTCAAAGGAGCGACGTGTGACCTGTCAGAGCTTGATCTCCGATCTCAGCGGCGTCGAGTCGCCTTCGGCGGCGACAGCTAGGATGCATCTCCTCCGTCGTTTTTCGCGCTACGGCCCTGAGAAGCTGGCGCCGCACGCAGGCGGACCTTGTGTATGCGGCGAACGCTTAAAAAGTGGGTGCTCTACGTCACTTTTTTTGAGTAGATAGTGCCGAGCTGGCCGTGACAGCGATTTTGGTAGTTTTGGGCGGGTTTTGCACCACAGACTTTTTGCAACTAGTCAGACAGTCTCTCAGATACTAAAACACATAACGCAAAACCTCGAATAACTCTCAGCCAAGTAGCCTCCCCCAGTCCTCCCCTCCTCTCGCCCGACATGTAAGCGATTGCCCCAACCGCCGCCCCCACTCACACTCTCACACACCGAACGCGCGCCCAAAGAGCGCGCGCCGCGGCCGCGGTCCGCCCGCGCCCGACCGGCGCGCCACCCCCGCGTTCGCGGCTCTCGAGGTCACGGCAGCGGCTTGTAATGGGACGACCCCTCCAGCGGCGCCGGCGCGGCGGCGAAACCGCACAGCTGCTGCGAGACGAGCGCCTATCACAGCGCTGCGGCGTGAAGCGAGGACGCCACCGAGCCTCGCCACCCGCTGCGACGAGAGCGCGCCTCGTCCGCGGCGCCGCCCGCAGCGCCGACGGGGCGCAAGCTGCGCTGCGTCGCCGGCAGCAGCGCCTCGCCCGACCAGAGGCGCGGCAACTCGCCGCGCAAGTAGGCGAGGAGCGAGACGGGGCCGATGGTGAGCGGAACGAGGTAGAGCAGGGCGGGCTGGCCCTGCACGCCGTTGATGGTGAGGTGGTACATGTTGGCGGCGAGCGCGCACGAAAGGCCGGCGAGGTAGCCGGCCGACGCGGCGCCTACGGGGCACATGTCGCGGACATGTCCGGGACGCGTCCTGGACATGTCGACAGGTAGCCGGCCGCCGCGGCGCCCCAGTAGCCGAGGGGCGAGGCCGCGCCGCGCAGCGAGAGGTCGCAGCGGGCGGCGAAGGTGAGGAGGAGGCCGGGCACGACGATGTCCCCGAGGCCGAGCATCGCGTAGTCTCCTCTCGACGGGTCGCCGCGCGGGATCATCAGCAGCATCGGCATCCGCTCGCCGTCGTACCGCTCGCACGTCCCGTCGGCGAGGACGGTGTGGCTCGGCTGGCCGGCGGTGGCGACGGACATCATGACGGACTTGTGGAAGAAGAGCGGCGAGAGAAAGACCATGAAGATGTCGTACAGGAACATGAGCCCGAGCAACTGGACCCCGACCTCAAGCGACGGCAGCTGCACTGTCCGCACAAACGTGGCGCAGACTGCGGCGCCAAGCACGTCCTGCAGGCGCGAGAGGGAGTCCCCGCGGGTCGGGCGGGGGGGGGTCCTCCCTCCTGAGATGAGGATTCTAGCTCTTCCCTCCATGAGACAAGGCCACCTCGAGTGTGTATAGAAGTGGCCAATGAGAGGGGAGATCTAGCGGAGGGGCAGGAGGGTCCTCTTGTCGGTCGGCCTGCAGAGCCCACGCCCACGTCGCCCTGCGGCAGAGGAACCACGTGCCCGCCAGCGCGAGGCAGAGGGGCCACACCAGCAGCGTCGCCAGCTCGGCCTCGCCGCACGGCCCGAGCGACACGGTCGCCGTCTTGAGCCGGGCGGGGAGGAGGGCGGCGGAGGCGGGGGCGAGGAGGGAGGCGAGCGCGTGCGACGAGGCGAGGGTGAAGAGGGCGACGATGAGGAGGAGGACAACGGTGAACCCCGCCTGCAGCAGCAGGTAGAGCGAGAGCAGCATCCCGCTCGCAACCAGCAGGAACCCGATCGCCATCGAAGAGTTCATCTCGAGCGACTCCTCGAGCTCCGCCGCCGCCGCCGCGCCGCCGCCCTCTCCGCCGCCCGCGGCCGCCGCCGCCGCCGCGGCGGCGGCGGCGGCATGCTGGTGTCGGGCGGCGAGGTACGAGGCGGCCGCGGCGACGGTGACGCCCATCGCCAGGATTTGCGTGGCCGAGCCGTCCCACTTGCTGCCGCCTCCGCCGCCGCTCTGAGAAAAGCGGATCACCGCGCCCGCGGCGATGGGCTCGGCGGTGGCGGCGGAGAGCAGGGTGTGCGCCGCCGCGGGGGCGAGGAAGGCGGCGGGGAGCGGGTGCGGCAGCGTGATGCCCATGTCCAGCCGCGCGTCCTCCGCGCAGCAAGCCCGCCGAGCGCCGGGGAGAGGGGGGACTCCGCCCGCGAGCCCGCAGACACCGGCGGCACAGCGCGAGCCGCAAGCGGCGACCAGGCCGTTGAGGACGTCTTGGCGCGAGAGGGCGTCGAGGCGCGACGCGTTGAGCACCACCTCCCCTTCCGCGCAGTCCACTGAGCAAGGGTCGGACAGCTCCATCAGCGCGGGCGGAGTGCCGGCCGCCGAGCTGTTGTACGAGAGTGTGTCGGCGACGACGAGGACGGCGGCGCCGGCGGCGGCGGCGAGCGCCATCTTGTCGTCGAACGAACACTCGCCGCGCCGCATCACCAGCGCGAAGGCGCCCGCGCTCGCCGGCGGCAGCTCAGACGGTGCAGGCGCAGAGCAAGCCGCCGCGGCCGCGGCGAGGACGAGCGCGCCGCCGGGCAGCGCAGGCGTGGAGGTGGCGTGGACGAGCGAGACGCTTACGTTCGCGCCGCCCGCCGTGGTGACGACCGCGCTCTCGTCGGCCGAGGCCAGCCCTGCCAGGCTGACCACGAGCAAGACGCGGATGTTTGCGCCGGGCATGTTGCGGACACATGGAGTAGAAAAACTTCCTGCCTCGAGTACCTACGAGGCTGATAAGATCTTTTCACCTTGACTTGGGGAGTACAGGCGCGAGGGGCGTGTGGCTGAGACTCGGCTCGTGAGCCCCGCGTAGACTCTCGCCTGCCAACCTCGAAGGGGCTGCCGTCCACGCGTCGCTGCTCAGGCCGGGGGAGGGGGGGGAGACCTCCTGTTCCTCGCGGAACGGGAGTAGGCCCCTCCTTGCCCGGTCAGGAAGCAGGGCGGTGGTCGTGCCATCGTCGCTTCGAACGCACACACACGCGCCGCATTCGTCGCCGGCGCGCGACAGGCTCCCGACGGCCGGACTGCCCTCGACGAGTCGGTGTCGCCAACCAACCAAGGCAACACGCACTCAAGGGTAGTGCCGACGGGACGCGGCTCGAGGGCGACTCTCGCGAAGGCACGGCTGGCAACCGTGGCGTGGGGCTCGCGTTCGACAAGACCGGGATCGCTCTACCGGCATACCTCTCGCTGACATGCGCGCACCGTCGAGCTGACGGCGGGCGCGCTGAGGTCGCACGCCAAGCCAAGTTATATGCCAATGGCATGCGATCAAGAATCAGCTCACGCGCCTCTACTCGCATACGCATTGTCACCGCCAGTGAGTGCGAGATAGGGCTAGCGGCTGGCGGCTAGCCCCTGAGGAGAGTGACCAGAGACACCTCACATGACCCCACACGGTCTAGTCCGGCCTCGCGGTCGGCGGAGATTGCTAGAGGACGAGCAAGACTGCTCCAGCCTCACGCGCTCGCCCCTGTCGTCTGTTGTGTTGTTGTGCTCTTGTTTGTTCCTTCGGCAACTTGGCTGGGGGGGGCGACAGGGGGGGGGCGCGGCCTTGAGTTATGTGTACGCCAACTCAGGGTGTGTGGCAGCCAGCTGGCTGTGTGTCTTGTGAGCTTGTTTGTGTCTCTGTGTCGTTCGTGCGTGTCGTCATCATCTGTCCCGCGTCCACCCATACCGCGTTGGTGTCCAGTCCGAGCCTGACTGTTGTTCATCTTTCTACATACATACATACCTACCTAACTACCTTGGTGTCGGCGTCGTGGCAGAACGAAGCCGAAGAGAGCGATGAGTCGTCAGGGGATGAAGCGGCAGGCAGGAAGGAAAGGAGAACGCCGAGAAACGACCGCGAGGTGGCACGAATTAATTGCTGCGAGATTGGCGAGACGCGAGAGCGGGCGCGCTCCGGTGCGGCATGGCATGCATGCAGCGATCAGTCTGAGCATTTGCACCCGCTCTCCGTGGACCGAGGCACGCCCCAACGGCTCAGGCCCCGACACGGGAGGCGGCAGGTTCCGACCAGAGAGCAGAGTACGTGTGCCACACGGGTCGGCGGCCCGGGAGCTTACGCACACTCATCTGTGGCCACGCCAAAGGTGCTGCTGCGCTTTCAGGACCCTACTGTCCGCCGCGCAGCTGGAGGCCCGGCTGATGGCGCCTCTCGCCGCCCTCGGGGGCGTCTTGCCCACAGGTGGGCAGGTTCGTCGGTGGTCCTGCCACTGCGTCGCGGCGTGCGCAACAACAAGAATCGACGCGGCAGTTTGATGAGGCCGTGTACCGGCGCAAGGGCGGCGAAGAGGATGCAATGGCGCGCCGGGCCCTTCGGCATCTCTCGGAAGCCGATCTCGCCGTCGTCAACGTGCACGGCTGCTGCACGACGGTCTCGCCGACACGCCGACCTGCGCGGGCATTTCGGTTTGAGGCTTTGAGCGGCCACGGTCGCACGGTCCGCCCCAGCCAAATTGGCAAACACGGAGAATGGCGCTGAGCGACACTGATGATACATTCACACACCCGGCATGGGCTAGCGCTAAGGGACGGGTCCAGGACCCTCAAAAGGTGTGACGGCCTCCGCACCCTCAGGACGACGGGTCATCGTCATGCGTCATCGAACATCGTAATGTCTCCTATGTAAGTAGAAAAGTACGGCGGTCCTCTCTGTCTCTCTCGTCCCTCTCTGCCCCCTTGACGCCATGGCACGTGTCTGCGAGCCTGATCGCTGATGCACGAGATAGAGCGAAGACGGACTCTCCCTATGCCGCCAGCGCCCAAAAGATGAAGGCGCAGAAGAGCCCGACCGGCACAGCAACGAACAGGACCGGCGAAGGAGGTTGCGGGCCGTCACGAGGCGGCCGGCCGTCAAATGTGAACCTCTGCGGCGCCTGCTTCTTGTTGCCGCCAAACTGTGCGGTCGCACCGTGCGGGACGCGCGTGGAAGTGCCACCGGCCAGCCGCGCGGTCAAGTGCAGCTTTGGTCCGGCGAGCGCAGTCAAGCAGTCCACGCCCACGAGAAGCGCGAAGAGGGAGACGAGAGTGAGCACACAGCCCATTGTCGGAGGGTGCCAGCTGTAGACAGGTGCCAGGGGGGTGGCTTTGAACAAAGAAATCATGCTGGCCACGAGGATGCTGACGAGCCCGCCGACGCGAGCCAATTTGGTGTTGCCCCACCCCGACCGTACAGTTGTACGACGTTTGCGAGTCCACCGTTCCAAGAGGAAAAAAACCCCGCGCCGTGCGTGCGTCAAGATCTTGTCTGAGCCGGGCCCCGGCGGGGCTGCATGGCAGGGGCGGACGGCGCTTCGTTGGGCGCAGCAGCGGCAGCTGTGGACGCGCCGCTCCTCGGCCAGCGCGTCGTGCTCGGCGGGCTCTCGGCCCGCCCCGAGCTGAACGGGCAGCGGGGTGAGGCACGGAGCTTCGAGGGCGGGCGGTACGCTGTAGTGCTCGACGGCGGCGGCGAGAGCGTGCGGGTGCGGCCGGACAATCTGTCGCCGGCAGCGGCGGAGCCAGTGTCAGGCGGTGCTGCGGCAGCCCCCGACGCGGTTGTGGCAGCGGCTGAGCGAGGCGAGGAGGAGGCGGTGCTGGCGTGGCTTGACGGCGGCGGGCGGGCCGACGCGACGTACGAGAGAGACGATTCGAGCGGCGTCACGCTGCTGATGGGCGCCGCTTGCAACGGCCACGAGCGGGTGGTCGAGTTGTTGCTGAAGCACGGCGCTGAGGTCAACCTGCAGAGCAGCATCGGCATCACCGCGCTGATGGCCGCCGCCGGCAATGGCCACGAGCGGATGGTCGAGTTGCTGCTGCAGCGCGGCGCGGAGATCAACCAGCAGGACAGCAAAGGCTGGACCGCGCTGATGCTCGCCGCCCGCAGCGGCCAAAAGCGGGTGGTCGACTTGCTGATACGGCGCGGCGCGGAGATCAACACGCAGAACGGCAACGGCTTCACCGCGCTGATGCACGCCGCCAGCTTCGGCAACGAGCGGGAGGTCGAGCTGCTGCTGAAGCACCGCGCGGAGCTCAACCTGCAGAACAGCAAAGGCGTCACCGCGCTGATGCACGCCGGCCACCAAGGCCACGCGCGGGTGGTCGACTTGCTGATTTGGCACGGGGCGGAGGTCAACCTGCAGGATAGCGGCGGCTACACCGCGCTGATGATCGCTGCCCTCTTGAACTACCCCGCCGTCGTGCGGCGCTTGCTGCAGGCGGGCGCAGACACGGCGGCGCGTAGTTCACTCGGCAAGACGGCGCTGCAGCTGGCCAAGGAGAAGGGCCACGCCGCGTGCGTCAAGATCTTGTCTGAGGCAGCGGCGGCGGCTACGGAGGGCCGAGTAGGGGCGCACGGCGCTTCCTCGGGCGCGGCAGCGGCAGCCGAGGACGCGCCGCTGCTCGGCCAGCGCGTCGTGCTCGGCGGGCTCTCCTCCCGCCCCGAGCTGAACGGGCGGTGGGGCGTGGCGCGGAGCTTCGAGGGCGGGCGGTACGCTGTGGCGCTCGAGGGCGGCGGCGAGAGTGTGCGAGTGCGGCCGGGTAATCTGTCGCTGGCGGCGGCGGAGCCGGTGTCAGGCGGTGCCGCGGCAGCCCCCGACGCGGTTGTGGCAGCGGCGGAGCGAGGCGAGGAGGAGGCGGTGCTGGAGTGGCTTGACGGTGGCGGGCGGGTCAACGCGACGCACGAGAGAGGCGAGACTAGCGGCCTCACGCTGCTGATGGGCGCCGCCTTCTATGGCCACGAGCGGGTGGTCGACTTGCTCCTGCAGCACGGCGCGGGGATCAACCTAAAGGACAGCAACGGCTTCACCGCGCTGATAATCGCCGCCCAGGCAGGCCATGAGCGGGTGGTCGAGTTGCTGCTGCAGCGCAGCGCGGAGATCAACCTGCAGAGCAGCAACGGCGACACTGCGCTGATGGCCGCCGCCAGCCACGGCCACGAGCGGGTGGTCGACTTGCTGCTTCAGCGCGGCGCGGGGATCAACCTGCAGAACAGCAACGGCGGCACCGCGCTGATGCACGCCGCCAGCTTCGGCCACGAGCGGGTGGTCGAGCTGCTGCTGAAGCACGGCGCAGAGATCAACCTGCAGAACAGCGAGGGCGACACCGCGCTGATGATCGCCGCCCTCTTCAACCACCCCGCCGTCGTGCGGCGCTTGCTGCGGGCGGGCGCGGATACGGCGGCGCGCAATGTGAGCGGCAAGACGGCGCTGCAGGTTGCCAAGCAGGAGGGCCACGCCGAGTGCGCCGAGGCCTTCAGGCAGCACGTCAAGGAGGAGGTGGTGGCAGGACGGCCCACGGCGACGGCAGCCGGCGGCGCAGGCGCAGGCGGCGCTTCCTCCGGCGGCGCTCCCTCGGCTGGATCGAGAGTTGCGAAGACGCTATCTCCAGCGGTGGCGGCGGGGCGGGCGCCGAGCGGTGGCGTGGCAGCCCCCGATGCGGTCGTGACAGCTGCTGAGCGAGGCGAGGAGGCGGCGGTGCTGGAGTGGCTTGACGGCGGCGGGCGGGCCGACGCGACGTACGAGAAAGGCGAGGCGAGCGGCATCACGCTGCTGATGCTCGCCGCCGCCAACGGCCACGAGCGGGTGGTCGACATGCTGCTGAAGCACGGCGCGGAGATCAACCAGCAGGACAGCAAAGGCTGGACCGCGCTGATGCTCGCCGCCCGCAGCAGCCAAAAGCGGGTGGTCGACTTGCTGATACGGCG